GGGATGATTATTGTCGTCTTAATTTCTTATTATGGGATGAAGTTGACGATGTATTGATAGTGGCTGTCGCGCCACACTAAAATACAATTCTGTTGCTAGCCCGCTGCAGCCTTGACCATAGTTAATCAAATAACATAAGTTATGGACACACGGTAAAAGATGGTTTGGCAAGAGCAATAGTATGAATAAAATATACGGCTATAAATTATCTATTCGTACACGGACAGTGTTTTTTCTGGAAAATCAATGTGGAAATGATCCCAAAACTGCATGAGGAACAGGACTTAGAAGCGGGATGCTGCATTAACTGGTGCGCTTTGAACAGCAGGTGCATCGAATTTCATCTGTTATACCTATTTTATCACACAATATGCCGATTAGAGCTTTAGAAAGATAATATGAAGCTTTAGAAGGGTAAATCCCTAAAATATTCTACCTATCTCACATCATTTTGTCAGTACGTAAATCTTAGGCAGTTTATTTTGCTCCGACAATTCCCTTCGGCGCAATAGGAAAAGTTAAAGGGTCCTAATCTTAGAGTAGTTGAAAAGGCTTCAGAAAATGTTCCCGAATTTAAGGGACAAATCTGATAAAGACATCTTTCATTTATTCAAGGTTTTGTTGGAATGGCGATAACATCGCCCTCTGAAAATTTACCAGTCATTTTAGTACTTTTGTGAGAATATTTGGTGCTTTTTTTTCTCTTTGAGTGTCGTGTTATATCGAATAGTTTGAAGAATCTAAAAGGTAAACAAAATTTGGTTTTTGAAACAGACACTCCAAGAGACATCCTTTTAAAAAATCCTATCGTATTTTTTTCTATACTGGGATTTTCTGGAATTTCCGAAACTAGGACCATGGAACAGAAAAACACCTACAAAGCACTTTCGGAGCGTGTGGCATGTGCCATCACATCGTGATTGGCATGCTTTAAGCCTGCTGCCGGCGCTTGTCCGCTCGTAAAAACGCCGTATAAACTAATAGCTTGCAGGCCACTAGAATAGCGGAACGTTTAGACAGTTTTTTATTATGATTAACTAGGAACTCCTATGTTCTTCATAATTTCGTTGCGGGTCCGATGACAGTTTGGAAACAAACGTGACCCTTCATTGGTTGCGTTTTTATTGGGATAAAGTACTCGAACTCCTATGTTCTTCTGATTAATTTCATTGCGGGGCCAATGGCAGTTTATTATTCCCCCGAGAAACATACGTGACCTGTGTCGTGTCGTGGTTGGGTTTTTATTGTCGGTCAAACTGTAGTTCCTGGCTACTCAGGAGTTTGCAGCGGTGGGAACGAGAAGTGAGAATAGTCTCGTTATGATATACCTATTAATTAATAAGGGGGAAACATGGTTTCGTAGTGCAAATTTTTCACGCCCTTTTCTAGGGAAAGCGGTAACGGTGTCAGTGTCGGATCATCCGAACTCCGACATCGATAACCCAAGCATATTTGCTTAGCTGGGGGTTAACAGAAAAATTGGGACTTTCTGTTTGCTCGCGGAAAAATTATAAGTGTTTTTGCTTTTCTGCCAGACACAGCTGGATGCATTGGCATTTTTTTTTCAGGCAACCCATACGACTAATCTACTACCGCTTATTTAGTGGCTACGGACGTCTGCCTAAATAAAAGGAATAGAGTAAACAAGACAATGCCCGCGTATGTACGCCTAGTTATCAATTGAACTGACTGCCCCCCATTTCTACAACTGTTTGTGTTAAATATTACCTATAGTAAAATTAAATGATGACTCGAGTTTTCATTGAAGAGCCAACACACATAATTCCTCACGTAATATTGTCTGTCTCTGTGTTTTCCTTTTGATTTATTTATTTAAACTTTTATGCCAAAATAAATTTGTACATACTAAGGCGAACTTAATGCACTAAAGCATTCTCGACCAGATTTTTACGCTTTAGCACTGATGTTTGGTAAAAAGAAAGTGAAACCCAGGGAAAAAAATTAAGCCAGTTTTTATCCCGGTTTTTGAAAGGGAGTCACGAGCGCGAGTCTCTGTGACAAACTGAAATTGACTCAAGCGAGGCTGCAGGCAAAAACTAGTTAAATAATGTTATAGTTGCAGCCTCTTATGCAGTCGTAATAGGTGTTATTTTGCAAGAAAACTGTGTATTTAGCTAATCTATTGCCTACCTAAAACGGGACTATTCCCACCTCTCGTTCCCACCGCTGCAACTCCTGTGTAGCCAGGATCTAACAGCTTGACCGCCAATAAAAACCCAACCAGGTTGAGTTTGCCTACTTAAAATAAAATGGTTACAAGTCTGCGGTTTATCATCTATTGCGACCTGCGACCTTTATTGTTAAGGTAGTAGGTAGTCTGTAAAAAATAACAACAATACAATGTGTTTGGCTATTTAAGGAAATCTATTAACACTGAATGTTATTAAATCTGAAAAGATTGAAAAGGGGCCCCTAGCTTTGGTGGGTAGGTCAGACAATGAAATCAAGGAAGGCAATAACTCAGGTGTAAACAAATTGAAAATGCTTATTAATTAATAGAAGACACCCTAGCAAGTAAATAAAGTATTGATTTAGATTTCAGACTGAACATTTCCTAATACTTAGCTACCTATTCGTAACCTCTACTAGGACATATCCTTGAATAGTCTGAATTTTTTTACATCTATTTAAGTAAGTCTGCATTCTTAGGATTTTTATATTACTCAAGGTCAATTTAGTAAAAAAAATATTTTTTTTAAATTGTGGAAAGAGCAGCTGTAAATCCACTAAATATCTATATAAGATCTCAATCATAAAATCTAATAGGAAACCAATTACTGCTTTGCATAAGTTTTATTCTTTAAAGGGCTATCCTACCTATATTGTTTAATTTCAATAAATATAACTTAAAACCATTTTCCATAACAATACACCCATCAAACTTGTCCGTCCATCTTGTTAACGCTGGCAGCAATTAATTAGTATCCAAGATGCAAATGCTGGTGCGCCGGCCAGTTAGAACAATTACCATGCTCCGAGCGATTGGAATCAATTGTTACGTTCATCTCGAACATCGGATATTTGGCTGTGTGTGCTTATGCCCATAAACATTCCAATTACATTCTAATATTGAGTTGTAATAGTTAAGAGCGTTGTAGCAAAAAGTTGGCGTTCGAATTCTAGGTTTTTATTGCTTGACGTCGCGTAGTGAGTGCGCAAACTGCATTTATCTGTACAATTTCAACGCTGCGTCGACTAAACGATCTTAATCCGTAGTTGTATCGTACCTAAGACAGTACATCATACATAATAATAAAGAAATAATGTATAATTTACCTACTTGATTTTTTCTCAGATCAGACTTTTAGCAAAATCAAGTTACGTAATTAATGTATTTTTTACACTAGTAAATCCCGCGACAAGTTTTTAATCTTTAAATTGAGTAAAGTAATAAGTTTATGGGTTTGAAAGAATTTATGTTTTATTTTATTCTTTTTACAGCATCAAAAGCTTATGAAAAATATTTACTATTTAAATTTTACTTTTGACTTTTTAGTTTTTATGATGCGGGATGGAAAAATTAAAATTTATTCTGATTTTGTGACGTTTCCGCACATAANTATGACCTTCAGCGAATACCGTTTGGTGATTCTGAGTATAAGGTATGCTACCCTCGCCGAAACACTCTCGATCTGTACCACGTTGTTGATAAGGGACTTGTGGACGATAAACCCGACACCACCCTGGGACTGCTGGTCGCCCTCCCGGAAATAGAGCAGGTTTCCGGATTTGAGGATTATGGTGTCCTCCCCCTCTCTTCGGACTTCACATAATCCTACGATATCCCACCGTAACCTGCTCAATTCTTCCTCGAGTTCCACTAGCTTCACGTCTGTACGCAGTGTGCGAGCGTTGAAGGTTGCCAGGGCCAGAGGTCATCGGTGTTGGTAGCTTGGCATCCCCCGGGGATTCTTCGCACCCCTTGCCCCACCGTTACACCGTATGTATAGTGCTTAAACTTAAAGACAATGAAGCAATAGCTAGATGGAAAAATGTATAATTATAGTAATTTTTTGATTCTAAAGCTCAGAACTTCAATTTTAGTTGGGTTTAGTTTCACCAAATTCTAATCTGTTATTTCAACTTTTTTATTTCTAAGAAGTAAATCGGTCATTAAAATTTTGTCAAATCTGACTGCCTACTTTGGAATATTTTAACTCATTTATACCATTGTTCATACGACTTATTGAAAATTTTACGGTTTAAAATTGCCTCTTCTAACACTAAAGTGTTTTATTACCTGTGTAATGTCTGAGATAGCTGCTGGAAGTAAATATTTGGACAAGAATCTTATTTATAAACAAATTAGGATTGTCCTTGTAGGATTATCTCATTGTTATCTTATTGGAAACCGAAGCAAAACAAACAACATAGTAAGTCTGAGAAAGCTGTAATCTTCTAGATACTGCTTATTCGCATTTTAGTATGCTAAAATGTATATTTTAGTATTTTAATGACGTTTTAATTTTTTGAGTTGTAACCTAAGTTTACGTAGCTACATAGAATAATTAATACTTCCATTATTTTACCTAAAAGAGTGCACAAACTAGGAGCACTAATTTCACTAAATTTTGGCATTATTTAGGTAGGTATTCAAGCAGGGTAATTTTTTTATTTAAAGGGTAGGTCTGTATTTTTAAGTTTCGTTGCGGGTGAATTCTAATAAGATTCCAATTGGTATTTTTTAGAAATCAAAATGTTACTTGTTCTGGACTATTAGCATGTTCCTGAATTGCGTATATTCGTCATAAAGTAGAGATATACATAAAAACATGAACCAGGATATGAGGAACTGTAAATAATGCATAATTTATTACCGGCGCCAACCAAGGTGTTAACAATACTCGTGGTGACAAATATCGACACAGCATTTTATGCTGTGACTGTGAAATGCATAAAACAATCTTTTTAGAGCCATCGGCCTTTCATGAACATGCTCCGACACTGAGCGAACAAATGTTTATATACGGTTATCTTACCCTTATCTTGTACCTCCACCGCACATGAGATGATAACACATAATCACAAAAACGTCACTTTTGAGATTATTTAAGGATTTCAAGAGTTAATTCCAAAAAAACATGAAAACTTTGATTTTCAATGACACACGAACGCAACACGTTCACCTCGTACGAAGGCGCGCCACTGTCAGTGTTGCCATAATTAAATTATGTTTACCTCAAAACAAACGTCAGAATGTGGTGGTAATTTTATTTATGAATGAAATAAATTATATTTAGATTCTACGTTCAACTATCATACTGCTACACTGCGACTTTGCCGATGTTGAAAATCTACAGACATTTTACTACACTCACGACAGTACGTTGCACATGGATATGAATTTACTCTTTGACACGGTTTGCAAGGTTGCGCACAGTCACAAGGTCTTAGGTTGTTATGCTCCGAGTGACACCGTTTGATTCGATGTAATTTCTTGTAAATGTCGTATGGATTATTACATTCAGATGATAGAAATGCCAAAATAATTGGTAATTCTTTTCCTAATAACGAACGAAGCCTTCGAAGTTCATCTCTCGTAGATTTTGTAAACCTAGAATTTGATTTTCTTCGGGTCCTTGAGTTTGAAGCTGCAGTTGCTGCATTTCTAGAGTATCTTTTCCGTCTTCTTTTTTCTTTATCTCCAGTTGAACTTATATTTTGATCTTCCATATCATTAATAATTCTTGTTACATGTCTATTGCCCATTTCGTTTATATTTTATTTAAAATTTTCAGACTTAAAATTTTGGTTTACTTTGTCAAAAATTTGTCATTATGGATTTGTCATGTCATTGAAAGATAAGAAGAAGAAAAAGTATTTTATTTAGAAAAGAAACAGTTTTATACATTTTGTATGCAATTATTATTTTCTAAAGAAGTTAAATAATTTTAAAGTTACATTTAACTGCTGAATGATATTGCTCTTCACAATCTACCAGGCACCTAGGCGTAGCCATTTATTTATTTGTAATAGGTATACAAAGAATTGGATTTTTTAATGAACCTTGTTTATGTCTGTGTTACGGTTAATGTGATAAATTGAAAATTAGTAATAATAACCGGTTATTATGAATAATTACCGACAGTCGCGGTAAAAGCGATAAATTAATCACATTTAACAGTGATTATTTAATAATTCAACCTTAGTACTAACAAATTTCATAAAAGAGAACAACATCTTGTGTACGTGCTCGTGTACAGCCAAACTTTTGAACGTTTTGATATTTAATATAATTGGGCATAATTAGTTTGAAATGTTTCTTGCATAATATTACTTTTCCATGATGCCTATAACATAATGTTTTGATTTAAAGTGAAAAATAGGTTAAGGTGCGGCGGGGGTGGCCCTTGGGCCACCCCTAAGCCGCCTATATTTAGTTTTATACACACATAAATGACCTCATATTAATCACATTTACCAAATCATGCGGTAATTATTCATAATAACCGGCGATTATTCATAATTTTCACATTTATCACTTTGACCGTAACATCTGCACTGATAACGTTGATAATAATAATTCATTTAATGACGTTGTTTACACCTTTTATATCCAATGATTTATACTTTGTGTGTGTAGTAGATATGAATGTACCTATAGGTACCTACCTAAATTATGACGTACGAGTAGGTATATGCGTGAACTACTCGTGTAACGATAAGCCTAGGCGTAGACCCCCAACTTTTAGCTCGATAGTTAGGCCCGATTTTGATTAGACTTCCATATATTATGTCTTTAACGGTGACCAATGATAGTTGGGTTGTGGTTGGGTCGAGCTGACCCAATCACAACCCAACTATCAGCCAACTAAAAGTCGGTGATCTGCGCCTAGGTTTAAATTGAGTCTTTTCATGGAAAGGATCCTCTAACTATGCTTTATCGTGATTCAATCGCTTTACCCGTTCATTAAATAACTTGGAGGTAGATTATCTCTTAATTATTGTATGTTGTTGAATGAGATTCTCAGTAAATACACTTAGTATTTATTTATTTTAATTTAAATAATAATAATACCTACCTATACATCATAATATATCCTTGTTTTTGCACTTGTGGTTCATGTCAAATGTGCCTGAAATAAGTAGTTAAATTATATTGTATTATTACTTTAGATTAGGCTGGTATCAGCAATTTTTGGGTTTATAAGATTATTGGCCACTTCTATCAAATGTAATGTAAGTATGTAATACGGATATTAATACTAACATTGTAAAAACTAATTTGTATTCTGTTGCTGTACCTAAATAAATAAATAAAAATAAAAAAACATTTTAAACAGTGGGTATACCTCTTTCTTACATACGACATCAGACATTACATTGGCCCTTAATTTCAACACTGTACCTACTTATTGGAACAATTTATTTAACTTTATCATCTTGTGGGAAAGCCAATAAAAACTATTTTAAATTGCAGAAAAACTATTTTAAACTAGTTTAGGCTATAAATTATTTTTAGATAGTTGGTGTTGGCCATAAGCTCAAATTTTATAAGTCAGGCATGTAAATTGGGTATCATCATCATCGGTCATTAAGTCTAACCCCCTTACCCTTACTAATAAAAAGTTACACAGTTGTTGATCACTGTTTTAAAATGACATTTCCATACTAAACGTCACTTTAAAACACTGATCACCGAGCGTGTAAGTTTTATTAGTAAGGGGGTTAGTCTCCACTGCAGGACTCCAGAGGCAAATGGAGGATTTGGCCTACACTCCCCACGCTCTGGCCAGACGGGTCGGGGAAATTGGGCATACTTACTTATCAGCATTTATTTATGTTTCAATACAAAGCAAGTGAGGTAAGTTAATCCAATTTGATTAACAATTTGAGATTATCTTAATACCTAAATATAAATTGAATAAAATGATTGATGTAAAAGCAGTGTGGTTTAGGTCGTAAGGTTAATAAGTAGTTATTGTAAGTTTATTAGAATATCAAATATGAAATTCTCACTATTATTACTATTGACCATCGTGTCAGCTGGTGAGTACTAATATAATAACTTAACATGCAACTATAATATTGAATTCAAATAAATAAGCGGTTAAAAATAATAATAAATTTAAAAATGCCTCCGGTTTTCCCTAAATGTTATCCGGTACCCAATAGTTGGCAACATTATAAACAGATGACGATCGCTTCCCTAAATTGGTGAACTTCCGGGTCCGGTTCCCGGTATTGTATCTTTTTCATTCATTCATTTTAAATCATGGCGCGAAGACATTATAGACAATCAGTTTTAATTTTACATTATTTTTTTCAGTGTTATGTACCTCTCAGGGCCCAGACACGCGCATCGTGGGGGGATATCCCGCCACGATATACAACTACCCCTTCGTGGTGTCCATAGTGTACACAAACCCTGAAACTGGAGAGCAGACGCCAAGATGCGTTGGCTCTATCATATCCTCGTGGCATGTGCTGACTACGGCTCACTGTTTTAGGTATGAATGTTTTACATTTTACAACGTGAGATTTTTTCCTTGATTTTACAAAATATCTCTTTTGCACAAGAATCTAAGTAGGCATCCTAAGTTTATACCGTTGCAGTCTTGCGAAAAAAAGTTAAAAAGTGTAACCTGAGTTTTGCGCGGGAAGCGTCATTAAAACTTTTTTAAAGTTTACTTTTTACTTTTACATACTTTTTTAGTTAATTATGCTACAGCAATAAATTAAAATCAAGAAGCCTTCTTTCTGATAGCTCGAGAATAAAAAATCTTGTTTAAATTACAAGTTGTAGTTTAGTGTTAGTGTAGTATTATTAAATAATTTTTAACCGTGAATGTGGCAAAATAGTAGTTGGTCAAGAACAACTTCTTCTTGACCACGGAATCATTTCTTTTCATTTCCACCTCGAAATTTAATCCGTGTCCGAACTAAAGAAACGACATCTGTTGACGAATATTGCAAGTCTCATCGCTACAAATTCTCCCGCTCTTTCGCCAGCGACCCAAACGTCGAAAACTACAAGCTCCGCGTCGGCTCCACTAGCAGCATCGAAGGTGGCACTCTCTTCGACATTTACTACATCATCATCCACCCTGACTATGTGGAGAGCCCGCGTACCGCCGACGCCGCCATAGTGGTGCTGACCCAACATGTCACCATAAGCGAGAGCGTGCGAGTGATCTACATTCCCCCGCAAGAGACGTACATCCCTGATGGGTACACTGTGAGGGCCATCGGCTGGGGGGCTGAGGAGGTAAGTCTTTAAGTAGCTCACTTCGTAATGATCATCATCTGACGTCATCAATGAGCTCATCATCATCATCAACCCAGACTATGTGGAGAGCCTGCGTACTGCCGATGGACGGAAGGTAAGTAGGACTTCAGTAACAGCTGTAAGTATTATCATAATCATCATTTTATCACAAGACGTCTGTAGCTAAACAAGCCCTCCCTCCCTCTTTCCCACTGGGCACTTTGGGCACGTGCCCAGGGCCCCGCGACCGAGGGGCCGGCCCCTGTCTACTCAAAAGACCTTTCTCCAGATGATATGGGCCCCCCTTGATCTTTAAGTGCCCAGGGCCCCTAATAGGTTAAAGACGGCCCAGAAGTGGTGAGCCCGCGTACCGCCGACGCCGCCATAGTGGTGCTGACCCAACACGTCACCATAAGCGAGAGCGTGCGAGTGATCTACATCCCTCCGCAAGAGACGTACATCCCTGATGGATACACTGTGAGGGCCATCGGCTGGGGGGCTGACTAAGTAAGTACCTAAGTAGCTCACTCAAGATCACCATCATCTGACGTCATTATTACATCATCAACCACCAAGACATGGTGTCGTACGCCTGGGGGGGGAGAATTATTCTCAGCTCCCAGCTCTGACCTAGNACATGGTGTCGTACGCCTGGGGGGGGAGAATTATTCTCAGCTCCCAGCTCTGACCTAGGGGGGGGGGGGGGCAACTTATACACAGCTCTAGCCTGGGGGGGGGGACTTCTGACTTCGGGGGACTGTCAGACTTTTTAGATCAGATAGTTTGACTTAGTTCCTTCAAAGCGACTTCCAGGGGGGAGTAACTTATGCTTGGCACCCGGGGCGGACCATCCCCCCCCCTTACGCCGCTACTGCCTTACAACCCCACTGACCGTCAGTTCTGCGTGCTACGTTCTCTAGTGCAGAAAATATGATTTCCATGTCACATTTTTGACCCTTTCAAAAGGCTCATGTTGCTACGAGGCATAATATAATATTATAACGATTACTTATCAATTTCACTTCAGCGGCATTTAATATGTAACTAGATATCTACATTCTTCAATGCGTCACAGTTTTTCCCTGACATAATAAAAGAGGTTCACAATAGAACGTACTAACAATAAGATCGGGGCGGTTTTCCCTTCCATCAATTCATCACGGTCTATCATGAATATCACAATATTGATTATTAGTATCGGCTATCATAAATTACGTTAAAATGTATTACCCATAATACCCAAACAAATATAATAAACTACTTAAGTGTCAGATAAGAAATTAATTATTACATTTATTTAATCAACATTCATAATCCTAACTGAGATATAAACACAGTCATTCATTACGAATTTGTCAAATCCCAGAATCTGTCCTATACCGAACAAAGGATTTACTCTAAATCATTCCTTACTCGTGCGATGCTGGTCTAGGCCTAAATTCTAGACTAGCTTGCTAGCTAGACAAACTAAGACACGTGACAGATTCTGAATTTGACGATCAATTCGCTACGTCCTATAGGTAATATTAATATAATATAGGCGGTGGTGATGGTGTACCTTAGTCCTAAGTACGTAAAGTACCTACTTAGTACGTACTCGAAGATACGACTTACAAAAAATACTTACTTGCATGAAATGAAGCAGCGTCTAGTCAAAGTCAATAACAACTTTTCCAAAAACCAAAACCACCTTTACACGCAATGCGTAATTCGTACTTATCGGTTGTTGTTGAGATAGTAACGATAATTTTCTACCATTGCCTCTAGGTCCAACTAGGTACTGGTAGGAGCACAATACATTCCTAACCGTCAATAGGAGCTCGAAAAATTAATTCCAAATCTTGATGTTCACACCCTAACTCTGCATTCCAGGAGGATGGTGCCTTGCTGGACACCCTGAAGGTGTTCGACACCAGGACCATCCCGCTGCAGCAGTGCATCGAGGCTTTCGCTGATGATGACAACATCAACGTTTACGACCGTACGTATCCAGAAGTTTACAGAGATTTCGGAGATAGCCTACCCCTTAAAAACTTGACCTTCAGGTTTTTATTGGCGGTCAAGCTGTAGATCCTGGCTACACAATAGCTGTAGGTAGCGGTGGGAACGAAAGGCGGGAATAGTCTCGTCGTAACCCCTTACCAAGCTCCTTCTGTCTCTCTTTCTCTTCTATAATATAATTTGAATTTGAATATTATTATTATGTTTGTACGCTTTGGAGCTCACGGGTCAAAAGTGGCCCGGTCCTTTATAAGGCTTGCGTGGGGATACAGATCCAACACGTAGAGGCCGTTTTAAGCGCAAAATAATCGACAAAAGTTAAAGTGGTGCACATGCTGGATCTAGTCTCTGACTATATCATGGGATGTAGCCAGAGACCATCCCCAGCCTGTGCACAGGAGCTATTACAGTTATTGGAGAATGGACTAGGGTTATGGATGAAGGATGGATGGACTGGTTACTGGGCTATGGATGGAGACTACGGGTCACCTGCCTGGTTCATAGTCTCGGACTGAAAAAATGGCAGGCGGTGACTAGCCAGCGACTAAATGGGCCCCCCCTGGCGTCATGGGTCGTATAGACCGGACTGAGGGGCAACATTGGCGTCTGCCAGCTCAGGGGTGTAGAGAGGTGTGCTGCGCTTTCTCCGAGGTTACTCGCGGCGTTATGCCCTTTAACACTTCCACCCCTGGAGCATATAGCTCTAGCGACTCCACTCTGGCCGGCCGGTTAAGGCAAGCCAGAGGTGAAAGTCCTGCAGACCCTCTCGGATTATTATTATTATTATTATTATAATTTAATGAAGCGTAGGTAACATGCTTATGTGTGCGGGTTTCATGATAGTTTATGATATAGGTACCCAGGGAGGTAATAATAAGACAACCTTCACTGGATGTCATAGCCTGGCCTGATAAGGTACAAATCCTGGCTAAACAGTAGTTTAATAAGTATTAGAAAGCAGCTTGTCCCATGAACTCGTAATCGTTTTCTGGTTAAGTAAAATCAACGTGTGGCTCAACGGGAATATCAGTAATTTGTGCACAACAAATCACTAAATAAATAATTATTAGATTTTACAAAACTACCTTCCTCCACACTAAGAACAATGACTTACCTTCCAAACTTCCAGAGGTGATCTGCACCCAAGCGGCCGGCCGTAGCATGTGCAGAGGAGACTCCGGGGCTCCGATCATCATCGGAGAGGTTCTCGTGGGCATCGCGTCCTACTCCAGCTCCTGCGACGACTCCACGCCCGACACCTTCACCAGGATCGACCGCCACACCGGCTGGATCCTGCAGGAGGCCGTCCCTCCATATGGCAGGAGTGCGGCCTCGCCTGTGAGGGTCGCACCTGTTGTGTAGGATAGCTAATAAAATAAAAAATAAAAGACTTTTGTGGCTGGTGTGTCATTATTCCTAGGGCTTTTGAAAAAGTAGGCAGCGAACGAAAATAGACGAAAAAGTTTTCCCTGAAAAAAATCTATTGCGCGGATTACATCTACACCGAGTCATCGATATAAGTAGTTACATTACATATACATATACCAAATCTGATTCTTACCTATACGTACGTAATACTGTGGTACTGGTACTGCATATTGCCTGAATTTTATGCGAGCGTTCGTAGCAACCTCAGATCATAGACTGATTTGAGGTAGCAACATACCTACTAGCTTAAATCGTCCCCCTAAGTACGCGGTCTGAAAACCAAGAACTAAGAAGCATAAGTAGTTCTTTAGATAGCTCGCAAAGCTGACGCAGTTTTCCATAGTGTTTTTGTTTTTATAGTTTACATTTTTACACGACTATGGAAATCGCGTCAGCTATAAGAGCTAAGCTAAAATAACTTAGCTCTTGGTCTGCAACCCGCACTATCATCATCATCGGGGAGGTGCTGGTGGGCATCGCGTCCTACTCCAGCTCCTGCGACGACTCCACGCCCGACGCCTTCACCAGGATCGACCGCCACACCGGCTGGATCCTGCAGGAGGCCGTCCCTCCATACAGCAGGAGTGCGGCTTCGCCTGTGAGGGTCGCGCCTGTTGTGTAGGAAAGCCAATAAATAAAAAATAAAAGACTGTTGGTGTGTTATTATTGCCGGGGCTTTTGAAAAAGTAGGCGGGAACGAAAATAGACAAAAAAGTTTGCCCTGAAAAAATAAATCTTTTGTGCGGATTACATACATCGAGTCACCGATATAGGTAGGTAAGAAGTTACCTATCTGATTCCCACCTACGTACTACATCTGTGGTTTTGCATATTGCCTGAATTCTATGCGAGTGTTTCTAGCAACGTAGGTACTAGCTCAAAAATCGTCCCCTTACGCCGGCTACAGACCAAAAGCTAATAAAGCCGGGTTGACACGATAAGAGTCAGTTCGGACCGAGTGGACTCGGATTACTACTCGGACGCTACTCGTATCGTGTAAACATGTATGTAATCCGAGCGCACTCGTACGAATGTACTATGACAGAGCGGACTAGGACGCTGCTCTATTTTTTCTATCACTCGGATCTGAGCTCGGACAATTTTAATTAAAAATAATGGCGGCGTCAAGGAAAAAGTGGTCGGAACGTGATACTGTCAGGTTCGTGGAACTGTATGAAGAAGAAGAAGTGCTGTGGAACGTGAGACTTAAAGAGTATAAAATCAAAGATGCCCGAAATGCCGTTATTGAGCGCATTATATTGTTCAATTCTTTTATTAGTATATCTGAAACAACTGTGATACCATGCAATAGCAGATCAGTCTGTTCCATGTTGAGCAGATCAGTGTTTTCCGAGAGTTGACACAAAATTGGTGCAAAATTGAATGAGCTTTGATAAGAGTACACTATGAACGTGTAAACCACTATAGGAGTACACTCGTATGACGCTGACTCGTACGAGTGTACTCGGACGTGACTCGGTCCGAGCTGTCTCGTAACGTGTCAACCCGGCTTCTACTATACGAGTGTACTCCTATACGACCTAACTCGTACGAGTCCACTCGGTCCGAGCCAACTCATACTGTGAAAACCCGGCTTAATAAAGCCGGGTTGACACGTTACGAGACAGCTCGGACCGAGTCACGTCCGAGTACACTCGTACGAGTCAGCGTCATACGAGTGTACTCCTATAGTGGTTTACACGTTCATAGTGTACTCTTATCAAAGCTCATTCAATTTTGCACCAATTTTGTGTCAACTCTCGGAAAACACTGATCTACTCAACATGGAACAGACTGATCTGCTATTGCATGGTATCACAGTTGTTTCAGATATACTAATAAAAGAATTGAACAATATAATGCGCTCAATAACGGCATTTCGGGCATCTTTGATTTTATACTCTTTAAGTCTCACGTTCCACAGCACTTCTTCTTCTTCATACAGTTCCACGAACCTGACAGTATCACGTTCCGACCACTTTTTCCTTGACGCCGCCATTATTTTTAATTAAAATTGTCCGAGCTCAGATCCGAGTGATAGAAAAAATAGAGCAGCGTCCTAGTCCGCTCTGTCATAGTACATTCGTACGAGTGCGCTCGGATTACATGTTTACACGATACGAGTAGCGTCCGAGTAGTAATCCGAGTCCACTCGGTCCGAACTGACTCTTATCGTGTCAACCCGGCTTAAGCCGGGTTGACACGTTACGAGACAGCTCGGACCGAGTCACGTCCGAGTACACTCGTACGAGTCAGCGTCATACGAGTGTACTCCTAGCAAGGTTAGCTTGGCTCGCGTAACTGACGCAGTTTTCCAGTGTTTTTATAGTTTACATTTGCACACGACTATGGAAACCGCGTCAGCTAAGCTAAAGTAACTTAGCTCTTGGTCTGCAACCCGAATTATCATCATCATCGGGGAGGTTCTGGTGGGCATCGCGTCCTACTACTCCAGCTCCTGCGACGACTCCACGCCCGATACCTTCACCAGGATCGACCGCCACACCGACTGGATCCTGTAGGAGGCATGTGAACTTAGTATGAGACAAGGTAGCACGGAAGAATTTTCAAATACGCAAACGATTCGAAGTCGAAAGTTGTTCGTGCTAGAGGTAACTACTTACTGGAGTTGTGTGACCCGTTGAAAAAGGCACTCAAGGATTGACGCCAGAGTCAATGGTGATTGGTGACACGTCATACCAGTGTGTACTGATTGCCCTCGGTCTTCCCCTGAATTGTATCTAAGTAGTTACTCCACCAAAAAAAAAACAACTCCAATAGCTGATTGATGTATGATATCTACGCTACGACGCGTGGCGATACTGTTAGATATTGCCTAACTAAGTACTTACTATTACCATAAGAACACTAAGTAGGTTTGTTTGTTTGTGTGTTTGACTGACTCACTCATCACGAAATTTTAGAAACTCAAGTGCTAGGAGTCTCAAATTTTGCATGGGGGTTCCTTTTAGAACGTAGGTACTCCTCACTAAGACAGGATTTTGTAAAATTCAACCCCTAAGGGGGTTAAACAGGGTCCTCGCGTGATACAAGTCGCGGGCGGCCGCTAGGTATTTGTATACCTAACTCCTACAAGTACCTATAATCCATTGATATTAATAGCTCAATAGAAAAATCACTTCCCTTTATAAATTCTTCCACGATCAGTTAGTAGGTATTGGAGAAGAAAAAGATAAGTTTTTTAAGGTTTTGGTGTGAGACGATGAAACCACGCAATTAAAACCGGGGCTTTTTCTAGTGTTTCCGGAGTGGTGCACTTGCAGACAAGGTGGCAGATTATCGGTAAATGGTATTAGATAATGCGTACGTGTCCGATTGACTGTAATTATTATCTTAATTTCATTATACAGCGTGTGTCGAAAATGTGTAAGATTTTTCCTAAACTTTAAATGAACGAAGCTAAAGAAGCTAGATCGCTATACTTATCCGTTCTGTACATAAGTTACTTACAAAAACACCATACCTAAACTGTTGACCAATGAAATAAGCCAATGAAACGTTGCTATGCTATTATACTTAGGTAGTAACCTTTAAAAGGTAGAGTAGTTACGACGAGTGCTTAAATAAATACATAGGACATAATGTGATTTTCATAGGGCACATAAAAGAACTATTCGTAGGTATACACAAAAAATACACTGAATCAAAAATTAAATGCTTATAATCACCCTGTACAAAACATATCAATTAGGGCTTTCTGCACTTATCAGTAGCTAAACTATTCGCGAATTTTTATATAAGATGCAGCCGTACTTAATTAAAAGAGTAGGTACCTATAGTCAAACTGGATTATCACTAACATGGCTTTCAAGGTGCTATGCGCACTGGCTTTGCTTTCCGCTGGTGAGTGAAGTCCATGACCGTATTGACCATAAGTACTAACAATAAGTTAAAATCATACAAGTTAAAATGTGCGTGAAGTGATCCAATAGACATATAAGTTATACGAATTCCAGGAGTCTTAGGACATCGTTAAAAACTAATTTGTGATTTAAAATTAAAATTTGCTTCTATTTTGTTTACATGTGATTTCTGTTGGGTGATGTCTGATGTGGTGATACCTACTTATTATCAATTTCCAAGATAATTTTAATTCAACCCCGGAAACCAGTGGAACTCTTTCAGTTGTTGGATTTTTTTGGCAAAGCATGTTATTGTTATAGTCAGCCAAGGTTTGCTTTTCATTATGACCCATCAAAAATCTGCTATTAACCATTCATCAACGAAGTATTCATCAACATTTCTAACCTTACAGCATCAGCGGCCCCAGGATCCCGCCTGACTGGAGGCAGCCCGCTGCCCGTCGAGGAGTTTCCCTCCGTGGTGGCCATCACCTACTACTACCCGCGGCCGCAGATCACCGTTCAGAGATGCGTGGGTTCCCTCGTCTCGTCTATCCATGTGATGACTGCTGCGTCTTGCTTTGAGTAAGTATTCAGGTAGGTACAAACGACAGCATATCAGGTTACCCATTTTGTTGCAAATTCGCCCCTATTACAACTGCACAAGAACCCACTGTGGTTACCTTGACGTGCCATCGTGACCATGATGACTTTATAAAACGTAGCCAGTATACTTAGTCACTAATTTTATTTATTTATTGACAAAGATGTACCAACAACACATCTTTACATAAACAAGAATTTTGTAGCCTACTCGTATCATTGTCTGGTACAAAGAAAAATGGTCGTAGAAAGAGAAGAATTTATGCCCATACTTACTGGTGATTCTGAGCTCTGCTCCAAGGTTTTCCCACAGGGCATCTTCATTTTCCAACAAGCAAGATAATTAAAATATCTGTTCTCCGCTTAAACTAAATAAAATAACTTAGAAACTTAGCAAGGAGTCAGATGAAGGTAGAACTGGTAGAACTTAGACCCCTCTTTCAAAAGACAGTGAAATGTTGGGTTTTGTTAGCAGTTGAGATAATGGACAATCAATCTGACAGGGACAAGACTCTGCTAACTTAAAACTCTTCAGTGCTCCATATTATTTAGAATTTACTCACCATTATTTTGTCTTTATCAGCGGCGCAGACCTCGATAACATGAGGGTTCGCGCCGGTTCCGCCCAGCCTCTCTCTGGAGGCACTGACGTCGGCGTCACACACTTTATCGCGCACCCTGACTTCGAGGAGTATCCCAGGACAGCAGACATTGCAGTTCTGTTCCTGGAGCAGTTCCTTCCCATCACTTCTACTGTGAACATCCTGTACCTGCCTCCTCCAGGGTACGATGTCCCTGATGGTATCAGCCTGAGGGTGGCCAGCTGGGGATTTGAATCTGTAAGTGTTTCATGATGATTTCTTTGCTTGTTGAGTGCATCATCAATTTATTTCTTATTCTTTAATGCCTTATAAATTGGTACATTACGAATTACAACAGCTTCGCAAAAACCTATACAATAAATTAAAATAAAGACGTATTAGCTATCTGATGTGGCAATGTGTAGAGCACATAGCACGCAGAACAGGTTCAACCCTTTTTGTTACACTATATTGTTTTCCTTGTAAATTCAAATAAAATAATTTGGTGATCATGGTGGCGGCAACTGCGTCGGTCGCAGTTTCATATAAGCAACAATCTTCTTATTTTCGTGATGACAACAAACCTACACAGTGTCAGCCCAAAACTCCGCCACAGTGGCGTTGTCAGCAGCACTCATCAAATCCTCCTGAGTGCAGTTGCTTGGTCACTCAGGGCACGACATCAGGTGCTTCATCGACTGGGGAACAAAACCGCACCTGCACTCCATGTTTAATCATCCATCCAAGTATCCCTACCTGAACAAATTGTCCTTACTACGGCCAACCTGCGTCCGAAGTCTATTTAAAGACTCCCAGGTAGGCCAGGAGCTCATGTCCAGGGGGAGGACTCTCAGACATAGCGACAAAAGGGCAGGGGAGATCAACTCTCTCGCGCCATAACCTGCATCTCTCTTTTGCATTTTCTCATAAGCAACAATTTGACGATTGTAATATGTCTTCAGTTGGACGGTGGCCCGCTTAATGACCTGAAGACCGCCTTATTGCCGAAGATACCTTTGGCCCAGTGTCAGCAAGCCTTCGCCGACTCCGAAGAAGCCAGCATTACACCTTGTGAGTATTTAGCACAGTACTGGAAAAAAATAAAACAAAAAAAAAAAACAATCTAAAAAAATACAAAAAGCATGATTCAAAAATGAAAAATAAGGCTTCTTGTAAATATAACTTGATCGGAGTTATTTGATCAGAGGATATCACTTCAGACCATTATGCATTTTTGCAACCAAAGAAGCACACCTACACTACCAGTCCGCTTGCCTTTCGAAAACTTTTCTATCCCAACGCAACGGCTACTGTCTACGAGTTAATCTACCCCGTCCACTGCCACAAGTTTGGCAGCTCTGCGAAAATCATCATCATTTCAGACATAGGACTTCCACTGCTGAACATAGGCCTCCCCCAATGATTTCCACAATGGCCGGTTGGTGGCGGCCTGCATCTAGCGCCTTCCTGCTACCTTTATGAGGAGTGGAGGCCACTTACCGGAAAGCGGAAAGTCCACCCACAAGGTGGACCGACGGCCTGCGAAAATATCACTGAGCTAATCGCTAAAATTAAGTGGCAGTGGGCGGGGCACATAGTTCGTAGAGACGATGGCCGTTGGGGCAGGAAAGTTCTCGAGTGGCGACCACGGGCTGGAAGACGTAGCGTGGGCAGGCCTCCTACTAGGTGGACCGACGATCTGGTAAAGGTCGCGGGAAGAGCCTGGATGCGGGCAGCGCAGGACCGTTCATTGTGGAAAACCTTGGGGGAGGCCTTTGTCCAGCAGTGGACGTCATTTGGCTGAAACGAACGAACGAAAGAATCTTAATACTTCATCGCCTATAACTCTAGTTTTTTCTCCAGCCGTCGTCTGCACCTTCGCGCCAGGCCAGGGCATATGCCACGGCGACGTGGGCGCCCCGGCGGTGATCAGCAACGTTTTAGTCGGAATTGCGTCTTACTACGAGAACTGCGACGGAACCCACCCCGATGTGTGGACCAGAGTCGACAGCTACACCACCTGGATCATGCAAGTGACTGCTGGAGCGTCCCGCATGCTGACAGTTTAACTGTGATATTTTTTGCCGCACTCGACTCACACGTCACCAAAACAAAATATTTGCCAATCGTTCCACGTCCCAAATGTGATTTGCCCTGGGACACACATCGCGATAACCCGAATATTGGCAATTTCGCATTATCGCCAAGTATTCCCGTATACTTCGATGCTTTTTTGCTTAGCCATTGTCTCCCGAATGTTATCGCGATGTGGTCCAGGGATAAAACAGTGATTATAGCGAACTCTATCTTCAAGGTCCAGAAAAGAGACGATCATTTTGTAAATGAACTGGTGTTGATCATGAATTTTGAAGTACTGATGAATCGAGTAAGGCTATTCTAGTCTTTTAGAGATTTAATGTGTCTTAATAAAAATTAAGAGCATTATTTTGGCCAAAATTCGTCACTGATTAAGTTAAAGAATCTAGTTTTTACAAATTCTTGTCAAACAAAATTTTAATTTATATGTTTAGGTATGATAAGACATATAATTAATAAAAAATGAATTTATTAAATAAAATATTTTATTTATTGATTAAAATTTTACATTTATATTGCGTAAAAATCCTTACAACATGTAGTAGGTATGGAAAGTTTGTCGGTCTCGGCAGTCGGCGGAAGACTTAGGAAATATCTTTGGGACACATTTAAATAGAACAGGCAATATTTTCACATAATTCCATTTTTACACAAGGCAAGACATACACATTAAAAGGCACGATACTTATTGCTTTCGCTTAAAAACTAATTATTTTAAATCTTAACGAATCAAGCTCGGTGGTTCTCTTTAACTTAATGGTCAAAATGTCAACAATTCCAGCGTAAGATGGCTGCCATCTTGGGTAAATCTAAATCTAACAACCGGAATACAACATTTAGCACTAATCTTAGATGTTGGCTATTCTTTTATAGTCAGTCAAATTCAAAATACAAGAAATAATCCTTAACTACACAACTTTTCTAGATCAAAATTAAGTAAAATCCATATAATTAATTAATAATAATGACAGGTTGATAAAATAGGCGTTAGCTACTAATAAATTCAATAAAATGCATGATATTTACACCTCCTCAGTTTTCTGTAAGAGATTCATTAGAAAAGTTAATTTATCAGATTAAAATTATAACTAAGCAAACATAGCTAAAGCTATGTTTCCTTTCAAGAATCCCAAAATATTAATACCATTAAAATATGTTACCATAATACATCTACTAACATTTACAAAAATATTAATTAACAACTATACAGACTTGGTCTATCATAATTTTATTATTTCTATTGAAGTAAATACAGAATTTTAATTTTAATAGGGGCAGATTATTATCATTATTTTTATTATCTCATTTATGGTATACCCACAATCTTCATACGTATACAATATACATGTAAGCTCTATGTTGCAATGCAATTTTTATTATTTTTTTCTCAATGACCTCTGAAAAACTCTTTATAGGGTCAATGGGTTATTGAGGAATTTTAGAGCTTTATTTTGCAAATATTTGAGCAAGATTTACAAAAGTTAGTTCCATAAAAAAGATTATAAGTATAGGAATGAATAAAAAGGATCAATAAAATGCAATCCACAAATGCAGGATATAAATGAGCAATAATAATTGTATAAAAATGTTTTCAATTAAAAAATATTATTATGTACAGTTTATGTAACTTTCACATTTAAAATATTGGAATTGTATAGGGTCATAATACTTTTCAGAATATAGCACATAGAAATATTTTATTTAAAAATAGATTAGATATAATAGAATAGGTAAAAATAGCACTAGAAATAGTAGATTGTAAAAGAAAAAAAGATTAGATAAAAGCACATAATACAGATTAAGATGCCAGTATTTACTTATTCACTAATGGGTTAAGAAATACTAGTGCACAAATAAAATAAAACAAGTCAACTTAAAAAGTAATTCAGTGTGTTTGGACGGATGTTAAAAGGTACCATGTAAGGTACTAGGTAAAGTCTGGTCGCCGAGCACGTAGAATTTCGTCCAATGACCGACGAGTGGCAGCAGCGATTGTACGAGCGCGACAGCAATATAATTACGCGCGAGCAATAAGGATAGGTAGCTTGGGTCATTGGACGAAATTCTACGTGCTCGGCGACCGGACTATAGTATGGAAGAATGGACAAAACCGCTACTTACTAAAAATCAAGAGATAATGCATTGATTAATAATATTTTAAGATATGGTCAACTTAGACTTAGACTGATCAAACTGGTAGTTCATAAAATAATTTACCAATACCCAAATCCTATATCAAAGTTATTATTTCTTGATTGATCTTGTACACTATGAACATTGGCAACTAACATATTCTTTAAAGCTACATTTCATTTTTAATAACATCAATCTTATACTTATTAGACATCAATGAATTTAACTAAATAATTTAATTTTTTACTTACATTATTGCATTGAAAATGATGAACAACATTTGAGTCAAACAACAACAATGAGTATTGCAACTTTGTGTAGAATTGCTTTTTGTTTATAAAAGTTATGTAAAGATCGTTTCATCCACGAAGACGCGCCCCCCCACCATTCTTCCGCGAATGTTTGAGTGTTATCGGTACACGATAAATTATCCATGAGTGCACACGCATACTACAATAATGACGCTCGGATCAAACTCCCCGCACCCCGCACTTCCCTCGACCAAAAATTGGTGGGGCGGGTCTTCGTAGATGAAACGATCAACAAGAAGTTGCTTAAAATCTAAGAAAATAGCTGCAATACATTATTTTCTAGCTGCCATGAGATTTTTAAAATCTTACTTTACTAGTATAAAAAATAATGAAATATTAAAATATTTTTGACTTTGTTGGCACCTTAATTTTTATGGTGAGCCTATGACTGATTTTGTTTAGAAGATTTATCTAATTAACCAATCATTTACCTACTTTTATTTTGGTAATGAATATTTCCTAAATACCTTTTTATAGTACTTGTTACTGATAGACTTGGTTGGACAAGATGGACTTAAAGGCCCGACTCGAGGTCAAACCTTGACATTATGTACCAAAACAGTTAAATTCATAATTCTAGAAGTGACTTGTGGATATTTGTAGGAGTCATGCCACATAGTGTTGGGTGATTTGGACGAATATTAGGGTAGTGTCTTAAAAGTCCTCTGGGACTTACCACAAAAAATTTAAACGCATGTTGAACACTTCTTTAAATGGACATTTAGGCTGAGTGGCACCACCTTATTTTAACCGTGACTACGTAACGATAACCAGTGATTTTGTATGTGGTTTGACACATTTTTGAAGTTTGTTAAAGCTAAAGTAAGATGGTGTAACCCAGCCTTAGTCGCCAGCGAAAGTAGCGAGCCCTTGGCAAGAACAGTCAACGATGATACTAATTGACTAAAAATGGTATCATAACACTTACCAACATAAACTGTTATACCAATCGTCTTTTCACCACTATTTCTTCAGCCGAAATCTTCCACCAAATCATTCTTCAGCAACCAATCTTTTTCTTGCCAGCCAAGCTAGGATGCGCGCTTTGATAAAATCTTATCGTTGATTTTAGACGACAAATGTTACAAATGACGGGCTTATCGCGTAAAATCGATAAAATGGCGCGATAAAAGGTTATTACGGCGCTCATGCTAGGCCTACAGGTCTGAAATATTGCAGCCCACAGAGTAACCTCCCAATGAAGTCACGTTAATACCTTCCAGTTATCACTATATCACTGTCACACCACTAAAACTCCTCAGCCACGTCACTGTCACGTCACTAAAACTCCTCGGCCATGACATTTACAGGAGCGCTACCGTCAACACTGATTTCTTCATCTTTTCCTCTATATTGTGTTTCCACGTTATTTCTTACGATTTTTACCACTTGACGTTTCAGAATCGTTGGACTTTATCCAGTTATCACTATATCACTGTCACGCCACTAAAACTCTTCAGCCACGAAGCACTTGACAACCATGACGTTCGCGGGCGGCGAACCAGTATCAGTCCTGACGAGCGCGCGGCGGGAGAACCGTGAGCGTGACGGCCGGCCCCGAGTGCTTGATCAGGGCCACCACTGAGTGAGGTATTAGGTAGGTCACGGGCCATCCTTGGAAATTTACTAGTGAGGTATCAGATAGGTTACGGTTACGGGCCATCCTTGGAAATTTACTAGTGAGGTATCAGATAGGTTACGGTTACGGGCCATCCTTGGAAATTTACTAGTGAAGTATCAGATAGGTTACGGTTACGGGCCATCTATGGAAATTTACTAGTGAGGTATCAGGTAGGTCACGGGTCTTCCGTGTTTTACTATGGAGAACGAACTTTTTGAGGTAAGGCCCAGTGTGTTCCTACATAAGTTAAAGAACAGTCATGATACTAATTGACTAAAAATGGTATCATACTAATATAAACTCTGCTATCAATCGTCGTTTCACCCCAATTTTCTTTTGGTCGCGCGCCTTGATAAATCTTATTGATGATTTTTAGACGATAAGTGCATGGTCCTATCGCATAAAATCGATAAAATGGCGCTCATCCTAGGCCTACAGGTCTGGAATATTACGGCCCACAGAGTGACCTCCCCAATGAATTCCACCAAAGTCACTTCAAAATCTTCCAGTTATCACTATATCACTGTCACACCACTAAAACTCCTCAGCCACGTCACTGTCATCACTGTCACTCCTCGGCCACGTCACTGTCATCACTAAAACTCCTCGGCCACGAAGCACTTGACGACCATGACGTACCGCCTCCCGCCGCGGGCGGCGAACCAGTATCAGTCCTGACGAGCGCGCGGCGGTAGAACCGTGAGAGTGACGGCCGGCCCCGAGTGCTTGATCAGCGCCACCACCTCTGGATGCGGTAGGTTGCGGATGGCCACGTGGTTGATGGCCACTATGGTATCGCCCACGTGGAGGAGACCGCAGCGGGAGGCGGGCGAGTTGGGGATCAGTTGACCTGTGGGAAAGTATTTGTTAAAATGTTTTGTTTAATAGTGGCTCCAAAGATGCTAATTTTGGTTAGTGGCTCTAGTGTTGCTATTCAAGAGGTCGGCACTATCGATAGTCAGGTGAAGGATGAGGTAGTAAAAATAGGTAAAATTTTAGAAATCTAGTCTTTTATTTTCGACTATAAGAATTATCGAAATGGAAACTTGCTGCTGGAAAATATTTATCATCATTCTGACACTAATCCTCACATTAAAAAATCCAGACCTGTGAAATTATGGGGAACCAACTTTTTGTATTGACCTCTCTCGTTATCTCGTTAATCGCTAGTGGCGCCAGCTGATGAGTGACAGGACCACACTCAACCCTAATGCTGTTGATTTGTAACCGGTTTTGAGACTAAATACTTTCTATCTATCAAAAGGTTCGGCAAAACCAACGCGTGCACGACGGCGATCAGACGTCGTGTATGAATTTGTATCGATGAGTTCACATCAACGCGTCCTATCATTGGTCGCGGCGATCTATGCACGCACAGTGATCGCCATCCCCATCGTCGACTTGAGCTGCACGCGTTGGTTTGGCCGAAGCTTTCATTCCCTTCATTTCACATAGAATCAGCAGCATACCTACAGTACTGGTGGCCTTGTTGGTGGATGATATGACGACGAAGCCGAAGCCCTCGCCCTCACTACGGGCCACGGTGACGTCGCAGGGCGCCGCCCTACTGTCCACACGTCACCGTCACACACTACAGCATACCTATAGTACTAGTAGCCTTGTTGGTGGACGAGATGACGACAAAGCCGAAGCCCTCGCCCTCACTACGGGTCACGGTGACGTCGCAGGGCGCCGCCCTACTGTCCACACTTCACTCTCACACTACAGCATACCTATAGTGCTGGTGGCCTTGTTGGTGGACGAAATGACGACGAAGCCGAAGCCCTCGCCCTCACTACGGGTCACGGTGACGTCGCAGGGCGCCGCCCTACTGTCCACGCGTCACTGTCACACACTACAGCATACCTATAGTGCTGGTGGCCTTGTTGGTGGACGAGATGACGACGAAGCCGAAGCCCTCGCCCTCACTACGGGTCACGGTGACGTCGCAGGGCGCCGCCCTACTGTCCACGCGTCACTGTCACACACTACAGCATACCTATAGTGCTGGTGGCCTTGTTGGTGGACGAGATGACGACGAAGCCGAAGCCCTCGCCCTCACTTCGGGTCACGGTGACGTCGCAGGGCGCCGCCCTACTGTCCACACTTCACTCTCACACTACAGCATACCTATAGTACTAGTAGCCTTGTTGGTGGACGATATGACGACGAAGCCGAAGCCCTCGCCCTCACTTCGGGTCACGGTGACGTCATAGGGCGCGCCCGCCCAGCCCGCGCCGCCCTCGAACTGACCGCTGCCGTACCTGGTGGGCGGATAGGATGAAAAGTTAGTTATTTATTTTTTGAAAAGAAACAGACTTATATTAATATATTTCATGTAGCTTAAAACTAAATTATTACATCAGTTTCTAAAGCTAGAGTTTACAGTCAATGTCAATAAGGAGAAAGATGTAAAGCAAAAACTAATCTATACTAATATTATAAAGCTGAAGAGTTTCTTTGTTTATTTGATTACTTGAACGCGCTAATCTCCGGAACTACTGGTCCGATTTACGTACGAAGTCGCGGGCACAGCTAGTCTTTAGAATAAAACTTTTTACTGGAATGAACATCGTCAAATCATGATACAAATTGAAGATTTTGATTAGGTATAAAAAACGTCTAGGTACCCTAGACCTTATAGACCCTTAATAGTACTTTTGTGCACAGTTATACCGAGTCATGAGCTTGAATTGGGTGGTGGAGCCAGGCTTGTTAAACTCTGATTATGGTGAGGAAAAAGATCATTAACATTTTAGGTGATTAGCGTGATTCATGAAGCAATTAACTTATAACCAAGCATGACAAAGCCACAGGCTCCTCCATGAGCATCTAATGAATGAAAATTAAAATGCTTTTTCTTATGAATAAATAAAATAAAATAATAAATAAATAACTTACATAGGTACGGCTGGCGGATACATGGGTGCAGGGTGCAGGATGTTGTAGGAAGCCGGCGGCATGTGGTGCATTGGCGGTTCCGCGCTGCATTTAATTAAATGAGTATATTTAGCATGCGATAAGTTGCATATAAATTAATTATTGCATGAATGTTTGACTAATACTATTTTATCCAAGTGTTCTCGGTCAAACGACAAAAAACCAAACAAAGAGGGGCTCCCTCTTCACTCATCTGAATTTGACAATTCAATATCAGTATTTCAGAGTTTATTGAACACGATTTTTTATTAATTTTCGTTGTCCGCATGCATGAAAGTGACTTTATTTTATATTTCACGACCCCTCTTAGTTTTTTGTCGATGAACGCTTTCCAGTACGTCCACCCACAAAGTGGACCGACGACCTCATAAAGGGACCTCAGGATGGCGCTGAATGCAGGCCGCTACTAACCAGTCATTATGGAAATCATTTGGGGAGGCCTATGTACAACAGTGGACGTTCTATGGCTGAAATGATGATTTTTTTTTATCCACGAGAAAGCTCTTGGCCTGTATCTCACCTGATGGTAAGTGACGATCAGGCCGAAGGTGGAAGCGAGCTTCACCCGGAATCCTCAACCACGGAGGAACTGGCTATCTTACCTCTAACTGCCGGAACACAACAATGCTGTTAACATTGTTGTTATGGCGACAGACTTAGGTAAGATGGTGGTAGCTAGCCAGGCGGACTTAGAACAAGCCCTACCACCAACCAAACCGAAGAGAAAAATCTGCCCCCACTGGGAATCGAACCCAGGACCTCTGCGTCTGAAGCAGTGGTCTTACCACTAGACCACAGAGGCGATTAAAATGATGATGATGATGAACTATGAACACGTGTGTACAATATGGGATGTTCGATCCGAAACAACATTATACTTACGCTAGCAGCGGTTGGTGAGGGTGCGGCGCGGGCGCGGGCAGCCCGAGCGGCTGGATATCGGCCCGGTTGTGCCGCACTCCTAGCATGACCTGAAAATTACATTAGTTTTTATTAATAAATACATATTTGTAGACTTTAAATATGCTGAAAGTGAAGCATAATAAGCCTATAAGTGCTACTACAGGATATAGAGCTTGATTATGTACACACGGCCACAGTGTTGACTATCCATTTCCATGTTTGCTCTCGCTCTCATCAAATGGTGATTCTTTGCGATAGAACGACATGACATGAGCGGCAATGGGCAGTTAACACTGTTGCCGATAGTACAGTCAACAGTATCGTTGATATGTTATTATAACCGTTTGTTTATCGAAACAAACGGTAGCTCTAGCGTAACATAGTTCCAGCAGAGTAGAATAGTACCACCCCCACTTTACCCTTGAATGACGTAGGTATGTAACAAAACAAATAAGGTAGAAAAATGTGAACATCAGTCAGACCTCAGTTTCGCAAGCATGAGAAGTGAACTCCAAATCATCCATTTGCTTCTGGTAAATTAGAGACGGTCGTGTTCCTGCAGAATCTGAATGACCTGATGATGATCAATTATTGTTGGCCGTTTGGTGTAGTGGTTCGATACGGACTACTATTCCGGAGGTAGCGGGTTCGATTCCCGCACAGTACAAACATTTGTGTGCATGAACATATTTGTTTGTATTGGACTGGGTGTTTTCTATGTAGGTATAATAAGTATGTATTTACAAAAAAAATTATATCCGTTGTCTAGTACCCATAGTACAAGCTTTGCTTAGTTTGGGACTAGAAGCGCAGTGTAAAATGTCCAAGGATATTTATTTATTTATTGATTAGTTAAGATAAGTATAAACAACTCACGTGTCCCCTGGAAGCCGCCTGGCATACATAGGCCACGGCACGCGCGTGGGTGGCGCCACCTAGCGGGATGCCGTCCACTGATGTTAGCAGGTCTCCTGGCCGCAATAGGCCGTCCGCTGGCCCACCTGAAACAAACAATTATAATTAGAGGTGTTTGCAGACTTTGGTTCAGAAATGAATACCCCATGCAATAGCAGAAGCGTTTAAACGTTGAAGCACAGAATAATAATAAGTACTACGTACAGAAGTTTTACTTCGCGAAGGTATTTAAAAAAATGTATGCTCAATGTCATTAACAATATGGTGTAATTTAGCTTGTCTCAAGAGTCAAGCAAGTTTGTCAGAAGTTTTGTTGACAAACGTCAGTGATCGGTACTGCGCCGAAGCTATAGGGCTGACTTCGGTAAAATGATGTGACGTGAGGTGCCAAACTGCGGAAAATGGCGGAGGAAATACATTATTTAGCATGAATTATCATGAATAATATTAACTACTTATTTACCTCTCAGTGTCTTCAGGCAACTTAAAAAAGTACATTCTGTGTTTTTATTATTATTTAGGCAGTTAAATACTGCACAGTATTTAGTACACCATTTTCTTTTTTTTTTCCATCATACACAAGAATACGCGTGCGTGAGTCAATGTTCGCTCGTATGTGAGGCCTTGTCGAATAGTACTCTTGTAGGGGGCAATCGTGCGTGTTTTGTTTTCGATGTAAACTCGCGGAGATGAACAGGCCTGGTTGAAGTATTTGGACGTGCCCAGGTCATAGAAATCTTAGGTTGTCTATTTGCTTTGTGGGCCAATAAACTCATTCTTATTCTACCAGAGGCCAAGACACTCTTCTTATCATCGAATCATCCGAGTAAGTACGTAAGTAGGTATTTCTAGAAATTGTTAGCCGCATTCAACTCAAACTCAAATCAACGATAAAACTCGCACACACTTCTTTTTTTTTTAATGTAAGACAAAGCAGATTATGAGACAGGAGGCAAACGACCAGCTAGATCACTTGATGGTAAGTGATTATCGCAACTCATAGACACCCGCAGCCCCAGGGGAGTTACAGGCTGTTTGGACACTCGTGGGTTGACGTCCTATGCTGCGCTATCCGGTAAGTAACCTCCATTCCAGAACCTTGTTCCCTCATTGTCTAGGTGTTTTGATGATGTCGAAACTAAAGAAATGTGTTCCTTATTTCGTAGGGCATAAGCCTCACCAGGTACAACGTATCCCACGGCGACGCGGCTGCCGTCCTCTTCTAAAGTCCGGTCGCCGCCGAGCAGATAGAATTTCGTACAATGACCCCAAGCTACCCATCCTTATCACTCGCACGCATTAGGTATATTGATGTCGCGACTGTGCGACGGGCGGTCGCAGTGAATGTGCGAGCGCGACATCAATATTACACGCGAGCGATAAGGATGGGTAGCTTGGGGTCATTGGACGAAATTCTATCTGCTCGGCGACCGGACTTCAGCTTTTGTTTAGTTGCTTGGTAGCAGCCTGCATCAAGCGTCTTTCTGCTACTGAGCTGCGCTTTCCTGTACGTGGCCTCCACTCCAGAACCTTGCTCCTCATCGGCCTGGGTGGTTTGATCAGGGCTATTTCTGAGGGTATGTATCACTTACCAGGCACGACGTATCCCACGGCGACGCGGCTGCCGTCCTCAGTTCCGCCTACGATGCGGAAGCCGAAGCCGGCGCCTCCACGCGCTAGACGCACCACCACGTCTGCCTCGGGGTCCATAGCGCCGCCTGCTTCCACCTGGAGACGATAGAAGAATATTACTGAAAGGATGCTCAGTTAAACACCGAATAGAATTTTTTTTTGTATTCATACGCCCGTATTCACAAACATTACTCTCACAATCATTACTAGGTCTCACAGTGCGCGTTGACGCATAGAGTGACACACGAACCAATCACGGAGCTCTATTCAACGCTGTGCGTTCATTTTGCTGCTTCACTTAAGCAAGCATCGTTTGTGGATACGGGCGATAGACGTACTACACCACGTAAAGCTACATAAAAGGTGAAAGATAGCAATATCGGGTGACAGCGCACGGCAGGAACGCACACATTACAAAATACGATAGAAATAGCACCCACTTTTAGGCTGGGTTGCACCATCTTACTTTATCTTTAACAATCGTCAAAAATATCACAAACTCCATACAAAAATCACCGGTTATCGTTATAGTTACAGGTTAAGTTAGGTGGTGCAACTCAGCCTTAATAGAACTCGAAGTTTGTCAACGATACAACAGCACTACCTAGCGTTTCATATAGTTCCAAAATACTGGACTGTCCTGTCGATGACATTGACAGTGGGGCGCCACCGTCAATACCGGATCGCTGGTTCAGATTTTTGCCATGTTGGAAACCATATAGTTGAACGATGGTAGCGCCCCCCTGTCATTGAGTTTGGCGGGACAGTTCAGCGTGGGTCATCATGAAAGAAGCACAGGAGGTGCATCAACGATCAAAGACACGTCATCCGTCATAGTGACACGAGTGCTATAATTCTAGCGCTTAACTCAGCCAGTGTCTGAGGTAAAGAAGCGGCACGGGAGGGGTGATATTGACATAATATATAATAACACTAGCTTTCCGCCCGCGGCTTCGCCCGCGTGGAATTTTGTCTGTCACAGAAAAACTTTATCGCGCGCGTCCCTGTTTCAAAAACCGGGATAAAAACTATCCTATGTTCTTTCCCGGGACAGCCGGGACTCAAACTATCTCTATGCCAAATTTCATCAAAATCGGTTGCGAGGTTTAAGCGGGAAAGCGTAACAGACAGACAGACTGGGAGGGATATTAGTTGGGATATATCTGAAGCAGATCTGAAGTCTCGCCGACATTTGACGTTACAAGAACAACCTCCCGTGTCGCTCCCATATCTCAGGCACTGACCATGTTACATACAATAAACATACGGAGCGTCAAAGATAGCCAATTGGAATCTAATTGAAAGGAAAGTTTTACTGACCTGTGGGTAGTTGGCCACGTATACAGTGCTGGGATGCGGCATGGCGTCGTTGTCGTAGCAAGATGGCGACCGCCGAGAAACCGGCGAGTGCATGCGTCGGCCTGGGGATGACTCGCCCAACCTGTGATAGAAACAAGATAGTGTAGGTAACACATTAGCTAAGTTTAGTGGAAGACTTTTTCATATAAACTACTAGACAGGTTGTAATGAAGGTATTGTATGACTATAAAAATAAGGTATTTAGTCTTGATATAATCTCTTGGTATTTGTCTATAAAATGCTCAGCGGAGCTGCAGATATTCAGGAATGGCTTCCAGCTAACCAGATCCTGCGCTACCCGCAACTAGGCGCTTCCAAGGACTTTCATCAGATTTTTAGTCTACCAAGTGGAGGCCTGCCCACATTATATTCTTAAAGAAGGTTTCTGCTCAGCTATCTATCTTACTAAAGTCCGGTCGCCGAGCAGATTGAATTTCGTCCAATGACCTCAAGCTACCCCTATACTTATCGCTCGCGCGTAATTACGTATAGACGGGAGGCAGCAGTGACTGCGAGCGCGACAGCGAGCGATAAGGATAGGTAGCTTGGGGTCATTGGACGAAATTCTATGTGCTCGGGGATCGGACTTTAGCTGTTTGCCTCGACCTGTGCCATTAGAGTTTGAGTTTAGTTTCTGGCGATCTAAGTCACTTCTAACTCAGGATTCGCAACACAAGGAAGACCTTAGATGCCGTTAGATGACTAACGGCTGACGGCGAGCCGGCCAGTAGCGGTCGGTGGCCTGGTGTCTGAGAGGCCCGGGGCCTGTCATACCTCAGCGGCTCGCCCTTGATGCGGCCTCCGGAGTTGTTGGAAGGCGACCGGCTCTGCAGCCGGCCAGTAGCGGTCGGTGGCCTGGTGTCTGAGAGGCCCGGGGCCTGTCATACCTCAGCGGCTCGCCCTTGATGCGGCCGCAGGAGTTGTTGGAAGGCGACCGGCTCTGCAGCCGGCCAGTAGCGGTCGGTGGCCTGGTGTCTGAGAGGCCCGGGGCCTGTCATACCTCAGCGGCTCGCCCTTGATGCGGCCGCAGGAGTTGTTGGAAGGCGACCGGCTCTGCAGCCGGCCAGTAGCGGTCGGTGGCCTGGTGTCTGAGAGGCCCGGGGCCTGTCATACCTCAGCGGCTCGCCCTTGATGCGGCCGCAGGAGTTGTTGGAAGGCGACCGGCTCTGCAGCCGGCCTGACGGCGAGCCAGCCAGTAGATGATCGGTAGCGCTGGTGTTGGATGGCGAATGGCTTCGAAGGCGACCTATGGAATATACAATAAGGTTTAATGTTTTACAGTTAACGACATTTACGGTAAAGGACGTAGCACTTTTCATCCCGGGAAGGGATCGTAACCGTATCAACTCGAGGCGTATTCTTTGTATGAACGCACACTTATCCGCACCGTAAAGTAAACGCGTCGCCTCGCGGTTGATAGCGCGTGAGAAGCGATGATAGATCGCGAAAGGCAATACGGTGTTGATCCCTTTCCGAGTTGAATTTGAATTATTGAATTTGATAAGTCTGCTATGACCTTAAGAGTGGGAGTGCTCCTATCAGCCATTGCAATGACTAATTAAAGAAAGAAGAAAGAACATGCAGAATGTAAGTCAAGCACTCCCAAAACAAGGTGCTTTCCGCTGTCTGTCCCTATATATGCTTTTAACTAGCTTTTGCCCGCGGCTTCACCCGCGTGAAATTTAGTTTGTCACAGATCTTCATAAATTATAGCCTATATGTTATTCTGGGTTATAAACAATAATACTGTAAAGTTTCATCAAAATCCGTTCAGTAGTTTTTGCGTGAAAGAGCAACAAACATCCAGACATCCAAACTTTCGCATTTATAATATTAGTAGGATAGATAGAACGACTCAAGAGGAAGGTTTATAGATATAAAACATGCATATTATAGAAGAGAAAAGCCGGGAAATTCCATTGCAACCGTGCAAAGCCAGGGCGGTCCGCTGGTAAGTTATAAAGAGAGGTAATCCTGCAGTCTTCTGGGAAACCTACTTTAGAAAGAAAGAAAGAAAGAAAGTAAGAAAAAATGTTTATTCAGTATCATCGACAATACACTTGCAATACTTAACATTATTTAATGAGAAGGTAATTACAATGATACTGAAAAGAAATCCACTCAGCATGGTGTCGTAGTAACTTAGTAGATAATGCCACGACGCTGGTCTTCCGTGGACACCCAAACAGGGAGAGTACTACTGAGCACAACAATTGCTTATGAATCATGATACATAACACACAAGTAAAGTTTTACCTGTGGAGTTAGACGGCGAGTGCGGCCTCATTCTGCTGGTGGAAGGAGATTGTCTATGGGCGGACAGCCCGCCTATTGCTGCGGTGGTAGGCGAGTGGAGCATGCCGTCTTCTGGGAAACCTGTAGAAGACAGATAATAGTATATTATCGACCGATTTTGAAGACATCAGAGTAAATAATAAACAGTAGAATAGCGGCTGGGTTCTTAGCGACCGCCAAGCTAGAATCATCATCATTATTTTCAGCCACAGGACGAGCACTGCTGAACATAGGCCTCTTCCAATGATTTCCAGATTGGCCGATTGGTAGCGGCTTGCATCCAGCGCCTTCCTGCTACTTTTATGAGGTCGTCGTCTGTTCACCTTGTTGTCCACCACCTTTCGTGTGGCCAAGCGAGCATCGCTTAGCGAGTATTATATTTGATATCTCTTGTCGCTAACAAGAGGGTAGAAAAAAGGTTAAAACTCACCTTCATTGTCGCTGCTATCAGCCACACTCGCGTTGCCTCTCCAGTAGGCAGCGTTCATATCAACGTGCACAGAGGGTGAAGACACTGTAGCGTCTAGATGTCAATGAACTTAGGTATGATGACCTACTTTATTTTATTGCAACATTGTACTTGTGCGTAATAAACTATACTTACGAGCAAAAGTATGGAATCATCCCCTTGTGTTTTATTCAGAGCGATCTTAAGAACTAAATGACTATGTATGTATCTGTGGTATCAATTTAAAGTTTATAATATTACCTTTAAAATGGCACCATTTTTATTTGTCTTTTATTAGTCATTTAGTTTTTGTGATCGCTCGAAACAAACAGGATGATTCCATATTTTTGCTCGCGAGTGTAGTACGAAATTAATATTTGTTGTGACTGCCCGTTTCCCTACTCATACTCAACACACTACATACACACGATTAACTTTACAACACCTAGTGTTAGCACTGTGGTAGTTTCGAGTCTACCTGTTACTGTTGCTTATTTTATTTAATTTTTCTTTATTAGGAAAACATACAGCTTATATTATGATACATGTAGAATAAAAATAATAAGTCTTACACAAGCCTATGCTAACATCTAGCTTGGTGTGAGAGAGAGTTAATTCTCACCTCCATTGTTGCTGCTAGCAGTCACGCTGGCTGCGGGCACCTGATGTTAGCACCGTGGTAGTTTCGATTCTATCTGACACTGTCGCTCGTGCTAGCATCTAGCGAGAAGGATGGATACACAGTAAAACCTCACCTCCATTGTCGCTGCTTACGCGCTTTTGCCACTGGTTTTCCTGGAAGATGTACCTAACTGTCAAAAAGAGGTTAAAAACTGTCAAAACTCACCTCCATTGTCGCTGCTATCCGCCACACTGGCGTTGCCTCTCCAGTAAGCAGCGTTCATATCAACATGCACCGTGGGCGTCGGCACTTCCGCCCAGTTGCCGGGCCACTGCTCGCCGTTCGCCCAGTTGCCGTTGCCGCCTTCGGCAGGCGCCCAGTTGCCGTTGCCGCCTTCGGTAGGCGCCCAGTTGCCGTTGCCGCCTTCGGTAGGCGCCCAGCCGTTGCCGTTGCCGCCCTCGCCCCATTTCTGGGCGCTTTCCGCCCAGTTTCTGATGTTGGAGTTGTCCACCCAGGTTTCGCGTTCTTGCCATTGATTTTCCTGGAGGGAGAGATGGGTTATAATAGGTATGAAGAAGATTGTCTATACAGTTATATCAAAAAAATTGCAGTCTTCTGCTACTTGTCAAACATACTTGTTCTTATGACATACATATTTAAAAGATGTCCTCGATGTTCGCAAGCAAAGATGAAATGACAAAATACGCGGGGTGGCGAATGCGGGGAATGTTACCTGATTGTCGCGGTAAAAATGATTTTATGTTTTTGTTAACAAAACAGGCTACGCCCATATTTGGTTAGAGGTTTGATGTGAGGTGGTTAAAAGATAAAACAGGGTCGCAGGAGACCCACTTTCATATTGTCAGTTTTTAAAGTTTGGAAGTGTTTTTACAAACAAATAAAGCTACAAGCACAACACATAGAAGAGTAGGTTAAAATTACCTGTGGTTCGCTCCAGGGCGCGACGCCGGGTAGTGTCAAACGACCGCCGGGAGTAGAACTCCGGCGGCGCCGGTCGATCAGGCTCTCCCGTTCACGCCCTTTGTGGTCAGGCACTGCGTATGTAGCGTCCACTGTGAATTAAAATACATGAAAAATCAACACTACTTGATAATAATAGAAATCAGAAATTAGTAGGACTGTAAGGCTGGGTTGCTCCATCTTACTTTGACTTTATCAAACGTCAAAAATCTGTCAAATTCCATACAAAATACGCCGGTTATCGTTATAGTTACGGTCAAAGTTAGGTGGTGCAACTCAGCTTAAGTAGCACCAAGTTAACCAGCATAGCCCGCAGATTCTCAAACTTTGCCGGGTTTCCACCAAGGCGAAGAGAAGAAAAGATGTGTTCAAACACTCATCTCGTTATTCAAATAAAGAGTCAGATTTCCGAACCGAAGCTGTGCGCAAATGATGTGGGAAAAATCTGATTGGTTTTCCCAAAAACACATATTTCCTCTTCGCTTTGGTGGAAACTGAGGCTAAGTAGCAGTGGGCGGGCTACAGAGCTCGTAAAACTGAAAAATTCTTGAGTGGCGACCACGGATCGGATGACGTAGTGTAGTTAAGCTGTCAGTCTTATTCGGTAGACCGAGACGATCTGGTGAAGGTAGCTGTAAGCACCTGGATGAGAACGCAGGACCGGTCGTATTGGAAAGTCTTGAGGCAAGCCTTTGTCCAGAGGTAAATCCCGGTCTGTGAGCACGTAGAATTTTGTCCAATGACCCCAAGCTACACATCCTTATCGCTCGCGCGTAATTATATTGCTGTCGCGACTGTGCGACGGGCGCCCGCAGTGAGTGTGCGAGCGCAACGAATAACGTTTTTATGCAGAACGTTAAAACGAATGAACGAAACGAATGCAAATTTTGAACCTTATTGCCCTGTAACAAAGTCCACAATAAGGATAAATCAAGTAAATTTCTTTCTTTCTTTCTTTAAATAACTAGTTTATTTTAAATTATTACCTGAGTTCATCTCGTCCAAGGCGTTGACGTTGCTGTTGAGATCGCGCGGCGCGTGCAGCGGCGCCCGAAGCTGCTCGGCCGTGGGCGTCTTGCTGCGGCCGAGCTGGCTGGCGGGAGCGGCTATAGCAAAATATTGTTTATTAGGTACAAATAGTAACACATCAAGCTAAATTCTGTGGAATCTTATGTTTTTTTATTTACAACGAGGAAGCTCTTGGCCTGTATCTCGTTCGTTCGTTCGTTCGTTTCAGCCGAAAGACGTCCACTGCTGGACAAAGGCCTCCCCCAAGGATTTCCACAAAGACCGGTCCTGCGCCGCTCGCATCCAGGTACTTCCCGCGACCTTCACCAGATCGTCGGTCCACCTAGTGGGAGGCCTGCCCACGCTACGTCTTCCAGCTCGTGGTCGCCACTCAAGAACTTTCCTGCCCCAGCGGCCGTCAGCTCTGCGAGCTATGTGCCCCGCCCACTGCCACTTGATTTTAGCGATTCTGCGGGCTATGTCAGTCACTCTGGTTCTCCTACGGATCTCCTCATTTCTGATTCGATCACGCAGGGAAACTCCTGTATCTCACCTGATGGTAAGTGACGATCAGGCTGAAAGTGGAAGCGAGCATCACCCGGAATCCTTAACCACGGAGGAACTGGCTATCTTAAAAAATCTGTCCCCACTGGGAATCGAACCCGGGACCTCTGCATCTGAAGCAGGTGATCTTACCACTAGACCACAGAGGCGGTCAATGTCGTTTTGAAATAAGTGCTACTTTAAGACAGTCAATCACATTTATTCACGGCCCTCTTTCTCACAGGGCACTCCGACAAGACAAGTGGCACTTTTTCATCGCTTTGAAAATCGAATCCGTTCACGATGCGAAGTAACTCCATACAAATAAACGCCGGAGATTAGAGCGATTCTAAATTAAAGATAGATGAAGCCTTTCGAAATTATGACCGTCGAGTTTTGCCACTTGTCTAACGGTGGGACTGATCATAATCAAAGAAGCGTTTGCTCTAAAAAAAGCCTTTAGAGCTCTGGCGAATTTATTAATTCCACCATAACATTGAACATGTCATGCCTATCACATATTTATTTATTTATACAGTGTTAGGTAAATGGGTTTATAAGCCGACACTAACCCATGTTAACATGTGCATATAAATGGTATGGTGAAGTCAGAAAATTGATATCATTATTTTAGTTTTCATACAAATCTGATTTTACACATTTTATTTTGTATGAACATTTTAAACCCAACACCCTGTATTGTATCATAGTGTCGACCACCAATATTTTTTTAAACATGTTGTGGCTAACAGAGGGTTAAAATATGAAGGTGAATACATTGAATTTATCTTTACCTGCAGGTTGAAGCCTAGTGGCCGAGCGGCTGCGCGGCGCGCGCGCGGTATTACGGCGCCACACTCGGAGGGTAGTCTCGTGCATCGCCGGGCATTCCTTCAGCACCTAGGTGACAAATATTACGTTGTAAGTAATCATAGGTATTTTAGAATAATTTAAGATACCATCTCTCCATGTACACACGGAACAAACTTGACATTCAATGGAGATTCAGAGTTGCAGCGATGAGAACGCTCACATCTCTTTCTTGAATAGTCATTTTTCTCCATATTACCTACACTATTGATAGTCAAAGCAAAAAGTTGACAACACAACCTTATTCCAATTCTAACAAAGACGTGTCGTGTTGTGAACTACACTGGTCATCACAAAAATCGAGCCTCCCGCGACAAGCACTTTCAAACGTATGCATCCCCACTTCCCACTAATATTGGCACCATTTAAAAGCCTAGCTCTAAACTTCATTTCATTAAAGGAAAGGTTTTTACCCCAAAAATGTGTCTGTAGAAGAATCCAGAGTCACTTCTTCAAAAAATAGTTAGTTACGCTTGAGCCAACATTTATGGCTATAAAATTGTTAAGTTAAGATTAATCACTATCAATCTGTTAAAGAGGACACGTGAGATCATTATTTGGTTTTATAACCATAAAAATTGGTCTAATTGATCCCAGAGGTGAGCTCAAAGTGAGGTATTTTTCAAGTCACATTTATTGTATATCGTGTTTATGTTAATCGTTTATTAAGAAATTAAATGTGTTTTTCTTTAAGGATATTTATTGGGCTTTCAAATAACACCAATATTGTTGGGGCACCATGATTGTGTCAGTAGAAATGAGTTTTCCTGTAAAACGTAGGTGGGCCGATTTTTGTGATGACCAGTATATTTGTCTACTTTAGGTGTCACGAGCTATTTGACTCTGACTGTACAGTGAAATAGGAATCAAACCAGTAAAATTCGCGTTAATANTCTGTCGGGTTCAGGGATGTCAGAAGTAAGAAATTATTTTACATAGCGCCTCTAGTCCCAAACTAAGCAAAGCTTGTAATTTAAACAAACATGGCAATATACCATTCTGCTTGCTAATTGGCCGCTAAGCCCTTGGCCAACTCAGTAACCAATGACGGACGATTTTCACTCAACCACAAAGTACCGCGTAAATTAAAAGATATTTTTTAATTAAAAATATTAACCAATAANACCCCCGCGCGCGCGCGCTTGTCGTAAGCAGACGTGTTACTATTCTCTCCGTGCAAATTAATTTGTAAACCATGTAAAAAAATGAAGTTTGAAGTGCTACTACATACCATTGTGTAGACATTGTTCCGAACTATACCATAGTGAAAACCGTACTCCGAAATTCTCGTTAATAGTGAAAATATTAGCGAAAACATTGTAAAATTTTGTGTGACCAACGATTTTATCACCGCTGCGGCTTCGCTCTCACCGTGCGCGTGCGCGTACTGTTGATGAATCATTCGCACTGAGCGGCGGCGACCGGCCGTGGCCGGCGGCTTGTGACACACGTACGAAAAGGACATTTACATAGGAGCAACGGACATACGGCATCCAGATGGCGAATAAATGTGCCAAATGTAACAAAATAATGACAAATCGACAAATTCTAACTTGCTCGTGCTGTAAGAAACTTTACCATCTGAATTGCACTGACGTGTCAGAAAAAATGTATTATCTGAAGAAACAGAAGAAAAACTACGTATGGAAGTGTTATAAATGTATTGGTCATCTTCACAAGTGTGCCATCACACATGCATCACCGTCCCTCCACACATCTTCAGCAGAACAAAATGAAAGTAATCTGCAAGGTTTCCCAAATAATCCAAGGACATCTTCCTCGGTCTACAATACAACAACACCTGGTACTTCCACGGAAATCTCATTTTCAAATGCACCCACTTTGGAGGACAGCCCGAGAGACCTACAGCAGGATTATCACAGTACACCAACGGTATCTTCTGTCTCCAACATATCTACTTCGGAAAGAAATATCACTCAACGTACTAAACAGAAAGTAAACATACCTACACGTGCAAGAAAAACTCTTTTGAGTCACTCTCCGCTGAGGATTCAGGTGATAATGATTGCTCAATAATAGAAAAATCTACTTTAAATAGAAGTTGCCCGGAAATGAGATACGATCTCAAAGAGGAGTTAGAGGAACATAAAACTGAGATATCTATGTTAAAAACGATGCTTAAAAGAGCTGAACATGAAATAGAAAATTTATTATCAGAAAATTGCCAACTTAAAAAACAAATAAAGAAATACGAAAATAAAACTGATAAACTTACACATATATGCCGATCGACGCCAAAAAAGAACCAAAGAACAAAGAACCTTGATGGACATACGCGAAATCATACATCTTGTAGTCAAACTGAGAAGTTAAACCAGAAACCCTATTCGACAGTTTCATATAATTTGGACAAAAAATTTGAAGATCTCTCCACAAAACAGGAAACTCAAAACGCATTAGATGATTCTTCGAATATACCAATAGATCAAACTGGAAGAAAAAAGGATGTAAGCACTTCATTAAGAAGAAAGGTGGTATTGTTTGGTGATCAGGGGGGAAAAGGTATTTGTAAACAACTGCAAAATGTACTAGGCAATGATTTCCAAGTTACGTCCATATTAAAGCCAAATGCTTGTTTGCATCATGTTTTATTATCATGTAACGCTGTATGTAGTGAATTTACACATTTGGACTATGTTATAATTTTAGCCGGATCAAATGATAGAAACCCTCTTAGATTCAAATGTATCTTATATTATTACTTGTCATTGCTTAGTAACACGAATGTATTGATTGGTGAGGTTAACGAAAATAATTATATAAATGTATACAAACAAAATGAAATAATACGTATGTTATGCGCTCAACTTCCAAACATTTCTTTTGTACCCCTAAGATATGATGATGGTGTGCTGAATCATAAGCGGCGCATAGGTGGTTTGCTTTCGAGGGAAATTATCAGAATAAATTATAAAATGAATTTATTAAATCACTCAAGTAGATGGAAAAAGACAATTAGTACTAATGTTGCAAATCGAGTACAAACAAAAATTACACAATTCTTTAAAAAAAATGACAATGTTACGGAGGCTGCTTCTGTAAGTTTGAACGGTACTACTACAATAGAAGCAACCAATAAAAATAATTTTTTTCGTGACTCAAAGTGAATATAGATTTAATTTAATGCATTTAAACACTCAAAGTATAACATCTAAGGTCGACCAATTATCCCTATTAATGCATGAAGAAAAAATGGATGTGTGCTGTTTCAGTGAGACGTTTTTGAATGATGAAGAAGTAGAGATATTTCAAATAGATGGATATAAAAAGGTTGCTCATTTCTGCCGTAAACGTAAAAAACGTGGTGGGGTTGCAATCTACACTAAAAATTCATTAGACTGCTATGAACTAAAATGGATTTCAGAAATGTCATTAGAAAGACATTTCGAGTGTTGTGGTATCCAAATACGAGGCTTAAACTATCTAATAATATGTATCTATAGGACACCAGACAGTAATCTAGATATCTTCTTCAACAGTTTAGACGAATTACTTACTAGACTAATAACTAGAGTAAGAAACCGTTTTAAAAGCGTCTTCATTTTGGGCGATTTCAATATAAATTTGCTTGAAAAAAATCACAAAACTGAATTGTTTTTAAACATATTCAGATCATTTAAATTCCATCACACAATTAATGTACCTACTAGGATAACTGAGCACTCACAAACGTGCATTGACAATATCTTCACGAATAAAAAACACTATAACGTAAAAATTCTTGATTTAGGCTTATCCGATCATACTTGTCAGTGTTTATCGGTTCCCCTTAATCGTAGTTTCACTGAAGGATATTGGTATATTTTCAAAAGAGACCCAAAGTGTTCCGAAATATTTTTGAAGTATATGTCACAAATATCGTTTTCAGATGTTTATGATCAAACTTGTCCAAACAAAGCTTATAACATGTTCTTAGAAAAGTTTTGTTTAATTTTTAATCTTTGTGTCCCTACAAATAAAGTTAAAATTACATATAAAAGAACACCAAATTGGAAAACAAAGGGTATTGTAGTGTCTAGTAGGATCAAAAGAAAACTATATCTAAAAAATAGAAAATCAAATTGTGCAGCCACTAAAACAAAGTATAAAACATACTGCAAAGTCCTAAAACTAGTTACAAGACAATCTAGAATAATCACTAATAAAACTTACCTACATCAGAGCACAAATAAAAATAAAGCCACTTGGGAACTAGTTAAACAAAATACAAATAACACTAACAACATAAAAGACACGCTAGAGTCGCTTAAAAAGGACGATATTGTGATTGTCGATCCCTCTGACATAGCTGAAACAATGAATGACTATTTTGTTAATTGTAACAATACTACACAGTCCGTGACAGAAGTGCATTATAAGCCTATAACAGAATCAAACTTACACAGCATTTTTATGTCACCAGTAAATAGCTCTGAAATAAAAAACATAGTAAAGGGACTAAAAAACAAAAAAAGTACAGGTTATGACAACATTCCTATGGCAAAAATAAAATCAAGTATTGACTTCATAGCTGAACCTTTGACACACATTATAAACTTGACTCTTGAAACAGGAATTTTCCCAACTGAACTAAAAAAGGCATTAGTAAAACCTCTCCACAAGAAAGGGCCTAGAGATGAAATTGGTAACTATAGACCTATAGCTTTGTTATCTAATTTCTCTAAAATATTCGAAAAGGTTATATCAATAAGGATCACTTCATTTTTGGACAAACATAATACATTACATTCTAACCAATTTGGATTTCAGAAGGGTAAAAATACAACAATGGCCATATTTAATATACTCAAGCAAATATGTATTGATGTTGATAGGAAAAAAACATGTATAGGACTGTTTTTGGACTTATCAAAGGCATTTGATTGTGTAGTGCATAGAATTTTATTAAAACAGCTCGATCATATAGGAATCCGTGGGCGTGCCTTGAGCTTGATGGAGTCATATCTCACAAATAGAGTTCAGGCGACCATACTCGACAGTTATGACAAAAAATCAAAGACCATTAAACGAGTACAGTCAATTTATGAAAACATCAATCTTGGAGTGCCGCAGGGCAGTATTCTGGGACCTCTTCTATTCCTAGTTTATGTAAATGAATTTCCTCGTGTCATAGACCATTTGTGTGTCATGTTTGCTGACGATGCCACAATATTCATGTCTGGGGACAGTGTGAGTGGAGATAACTTAGTTAACGAAATATATAGAACACTAAAACTTGTAGTAAACTGGTTGCAATCCATTAACCTGAAGGTAAATTTAGCCAAAACGAAATTAATTGAATTTAGAAATTATAAGAAAAGGCCTTTGGACTTAAATATTGTACTAGATGGCACAAAGATCGAGCAAGCGTCTGAAATAAGATTTCTGGGTATCACTGTTGATTCTAATATAAATTGGAAGTCACATATTGATAAAATTAATAATAAAATCTCAAGCTGTTGTTATGCAATATCAATATTAACAAACATAACATCTATTGAGGTTGCTAAAACTGCATACTACGGATATGTCTATCCTATTCTGACATACGGCATAATATTTTGGGGCAACTCCGTTAACATTAGCTCCACTTTCATTCTTCAGAAGAAATGTTTGCGGACCATTTATAAAATAAATAGATTTGACTCATTAAGAGATATTTTTAAGTATCATAAATTTCTTACTCTTACTTGTATTTACATTCTAGAAACAAGTTTATTTGTAAAGAATCATTCTGAGCATTTCCGTAGAAAAAATGAGATGAAACATAATTTAAGACTTCAGCATAAGTATGACATGTGTATAGTAAATTCCTCGAGCTATATCCTTAGCAAAAGTGTATTTGTAATGGGCATCAAAGTGTTTAATAAGCTACCCGTTTTTATAAAATCTTTAGAGGGCCCTAAATTTAAAAGAACGCTCAAGGACTGGCTACTAACCAAATGTTTTTATGACCTCAATGAATATTTTAATGACAAGTAAACTAATGTAAAATTGACATGTAAATGAAATGAAATCCAATTAATGTAATAATTTGTGACTACTATAATATTATACGTCCGAAATCAATTAATAATTTTAATGACAAGTAAACAACTGTAAAACTGACATGTAAATGATATTAAATCCAATTAGTGAAATAATTTATACTACCAAATATTGTACGTCCGAAATGGATAATTCTGTTGATACCTTGACATGCATGTATTATTTTTAACAACCAATGTACTAACACAGAAAAGACAATAAATGATTATCTTATCTTATCTTATCTTATCTTAAAACAGGAACTCACTTGGACCACGTGTTGGTGCGGCGAGTGTCTGACGTCTGTGTCGCCTATTTGTAGCAAGAGGTCGCCTTCGCGCAATCCTGCGCATCTGCTGCGATCTAATACCTAAAAAGATAAATTGAGTCTACTAGTTGACCCACCAAACGTTGTTTTACATCTAGGCTAGGAGATAAGATCAAAAAAATATCAAAAAAAATAACAGGCTCTAAATGTGAAAACATGTTAATGGTTATAAGTTTTCTAAAATGTTAGTCTACATAGTTTTTACACTGTATTGTTTTCCTTGTAAAACAAAAATAAAATAAAATAAATAAAACTTCATTTGACCCAAAAAGAAAATTCAAAAAGACAGAGATTTAAAACTATACATAAACAGATATTTTTGTGCCAAAAAGGGGTTTGAAATATATTTTACGTCCTATTCACATATCTACAAAATTTTATAAGAATCGGTTAAACGTTTCGGACGAGTTTAGTTACAAACACAACGAGACACGAGAGTTTTATTAAAAGAGAAAGATATGTACACTTGAAATCAAAAGAAAGTCTTTCAATGTCGAAGGATGAAATTGTGATGTTTTCGACGACAAAATCCCAAAAATTGCCATAAATTCTTGAACCTCTGATACTTTACAGTGGGTCTTTGATTTTAGATCAAATGACCTGATGATAATGCGGTGTAAGCTCACCTTCTTGACCTTCTGCCCATGCACGCTGTCGGCGATGGTGAAGCCGAAGCCCGCCGCGCCGCGCCGCAGCGTCAGTAGTAATTCACGACCCGCTTCGCTGCCGAGCCCGCGAGGTTGGTGCTCTGTAGGACATACAATGTTATTTAAAACACCTATAGTCTGGTCTGCGAGCACGTAGAATTTTGTCCAATGACCCCAAGCTACCCACCCTTATCGCTCGCGCGTAATTATGTTGCTGTCGCGCTCGCACACTCACTGTGGCCGCATGGATAGCTTGGGGTCATTGGACAAAATTCTACGTGCTCGCAAACCGGGCTTTAGTTGCGTCTACAGTCTCTATTGAAGGATATCCTCTTTGCACTCACCAGTTGGCGCCACTGGCGAGTAACAGGACAGTGGCGCCACTCTAGTGAGAGCAATTTCTATAGTTTTCCTGCCACTACCATCTCAAACTACCGGGACACGAGGACACTGGTTATTACTGTTGAAGAGTTGTCTAGTTGTCGACCCCTGGGCGTCCAGGTCAAATAATAGCCTGGGTGGGACAGTGAGACGCCATGGGGGAGTAATCTGTTTCCTTCCTACTAGAACATACCTGTAGCCAGCGACAGCAGATGGTCAGCAGAGGGATAGCGGGGCACAGGTGGCCCCTCACTCTCATCCAGGAAGGGCCGTGGCCCCTGGGCATCCAGGTCAAAGGACCGGGACATCAGACGCCGCTGGGTGGGACTGTGAGAGTTGTCTGTTTCCATAGCATCTACGTTACCTGTAGCCAGCGACAATAGATGCTACTTATTGCTCTAGCTAGACTATGTTTCCTCGAACTAGATTCTAATCATACCTGTAGCCAGCGACAGTAGATGGTCAGCAGAGGGACAGCGAGGTACTGCTGGGCCCTCACCCTCATCTAGGAAAGGCTACGGTCCCTGGGCGTCCAGGTCAAATGACCGGGACATCAGACGCCGCTGAGTGGGACTGTGAAAGTTGTCTGTTCCCTTAGATTCTAAAACATACCTGTAGCCAGCGACAGCAGATGGTTAGCAGAGGGACAGCGAGGCACTGCCGGTCCCTCACCCTCATCCAGGAAAGGCCACGGTCCATGGGCGTCCAGGACACTAGATGACACTGATTATCACTGTAAAACAGTTTGTTTCTACGCAGTTTCCAGAACATACCGCGGGATACTACTGGGCCCTCGTTTTCGTCCAGGAAAGGCCGCGGTCCTTGGGCATCCAGGTCAAACGACCAGGATCGTAATTACCCTAGGAAAATAGTCTATTTTTACGTAGTTTACAAGACATACCTGAAGCCAGCGACAGTAGATGGTCAGCAGAGGGACAGCGGGGCACAGGTGGTCCCTCACTCTCATCCAGGAAGGGCCGTGGCCCCTGAGCATCCAGGTCAAAGGACCGGGACATCAGACGCCGCTGTGTGGGACTGTGAAAGTTGTCTGTTTCCATAGCATCTACGTTACCTGTAGCCAGCGACAATAGATGCTACTTATTGCTCTAGCTAGACTATGTTTCCTCGATCTAGATTCTAATCATACCTGTAGCCAGCGATAGTAGATGGTCAGCAGAGGGACAGCGAGGTACTGCTGGGCCCTCACCCTCATCTAGGAAAGGCTACGGTCCCTGGGCGTCCAGGTCAAATGACCGGGACATCAGACGCCGCTGAGTGGGACTGTGAAAGTTGTCTGTTCCCTTAGATTCTAAAACATACCTGTAGCCAGCGACAGCAGATGGTTAGCAGAGGGACAGCGAGGCACTGCCGGTCCCTCACCCTCATCTAGGAAAGGCCACGGTCCCTGGGCGTCCAGGACACTAAATGACACTGATTATCACTGTAAAACAGTTTGTTTTTACGCAGTTTCCAGAACATACCGCGAGATACTACTGGGCCTTCGCTTTCGTTCAGGAAAGGCCGCGGTCCTTGGGCATCCAGGTCAAACGACCAGGATCGTTATTACCCTAGGAAAATAGTCTGTTTTTACGTCGTTTACAAGACATACCAGTAGCCAGCGACAGTAAATGGTCAGCAGAGGGACAGCGGGGCACAGGTGGTCCCTCGCTCTCGTCTAAGAAAGGCCGCGGTCCCTGAGCATCCAGGTCAAAGGACCGGGACATCAGACGCCGCTGGGTGGGACTGTGAGGCGTCACTGGAGAGTTGTCCGTCTCGTCTCGACCCTGGGTCGGGTCTACGTGGTTGGGAGAGTCCAGGTTGAATCTGAAATAAGTTTGTTAAATATTGAATGTTGTAGTTACAAAATTGTAGAATGGAAATCAGTCTGTAAGCATCATAAGACCATTTTTTTATCATTATAATTTACACTGGACGCTTGCCATTGCGTTTAGCGGGTATTTCATTGAAGAAACAGATTTTCAATGAAGTAGGCGAAAATATAAAATTTGTCTTTGCCAGAGTATGGCATTTGTAAGAGTGTGGCATTCGCACAAAGCTATGGGGGAATCGCGTTTCGACTAAGAGATAAATATATGCGAACATCAGGCATCCTAAGTGCGTCTGGCCAGCGTGGAAAGTGTAGTCAAAATCCGCCATTTGCTTGGTTTAGAAAGGGTCGTACTCCTGCAATGGAAATTATAAGATAACGTACGTACAACGGGGCTTACGTGACTCACCTGGTCCTCAGGGCTCTGGTTAACTGCTGCATAGCGACCGCATCGGAGGTGGCAGGAGTGGTGGCATCCACCGCCAGAGTGCTTAGAACTCGAGTGTTTGGGTCTTCGGAGTCGAACGATAGCGGGTAACCTGGTGGAAAATATTTATTTTAACTTTTAAGAATCGTGTATACCTAGTTAAGACGAAAAAACGATGGCGTGGTCGTTTACTAAAGTCCTCATACTTGGACAAGTTTATTCGTCCAAGGCCTCATAAGAAGGCTCAAGGTCACCGAAAGGGCGAAGGAGTGTGCTATGCTCAGCGTTTCCCTGTGTGAGTTAGAAATGAGGAAATCTGCAGGAAAATCAAAGTAACCGAAATTAAAAATTTCCAAACTTGCAATGGGCGCGGCACTTACTCGTGACTAGGAGAACTAATGGCCGTTGTGTCAGAAAAGTTCTCGAGTGGCGACCAATCCATGGACCGGAAAACGTAGTGTCGGCAGGCCTTCCACTAGTAGATGGACCGACCGCTTTTTTAAATGTTATGAAGTTGTTTAGCTCACCCGTGACGTCACACCCCAGTGCTATGGACTGGAAGAACTACGCGACGTGCGCGTGCGAGACCCTGGATTACTCGGTTGTTGACATGAACTTGCTTTATATCAGCAAGGAGGCAACGTTCTTCTTCTTCTGTTTATGGCCAGGTCTAGGATATTACCAGAGTAAATACAAATGAGTAGGTCGTCATCATAGAAACGCACCGAGTGCGGTTTGTATGTGAGCGCGCCATTTGGCGCAACCACGACTCCCCGCTAATTCCCGCTAAATTTTGTCAGTGTGTGCGTTCGCGCCGCATACGTGTTGGCGCGCTCAAATACACCGCGCCCGTGCGTTTCTATGAAGATGATGAATAAGATGACCTACTCATTTGTATTTACTCTGATATTTCGGCCCTCAGAGTCACCTTACCAATGAATTCAAAGCAAGGTTACTCACCCCTAACAAGATGTAGCGTGACGTCAGACCCTGGAGCTATGGACTGGAATATCTGTGCGACGTGCGCGTGCGATAATCCACGGACGGCTCGGTTGTTGACGCCTACCACTACATCGCCGGGACGGAGAGCTCCTGGAAACAATGTTTTGGTTATCTCATCATCAAGTTATTTTTGGTCTCTGCTGCAGGAGGAAGAACTTATCTATTTTAGCCGAGAAAAAACGCTGACCAGACATGTTGGGTAGGCCTATTCGCATATTTATTTGCCTAAATGGTCATAGCAGGCTTATCATCTCGTAAAGGGATCAATCGTTTACGTTACGGTCTGGATAAGTGTTCGTTGCGGTATGGAGTTTCATACAAAGAATACTGACCGCCTTGAGTTGATATGGTTACGATCCCTTTACGAGTTGATAAATGTGCTACATCCTTTGATTGCTTCTTACATTAGAAGAGTGATAAGTGAGTTTGGTTATTCGGTTTCAATTGCAAGTGCTGCATTCAATAAATTTTATAGGGTGTAGAAATTCAGCAATATTACATGATGATGGATAGTTTTGAGCAGAAAACAGTAAGAGTATGTAATTAATGTTGTAATAAATTTATAGACTTCATAGGGATGCTTTTAGTTACCATCTATCCAAGCTGGACTGTGGGGCACAATACTGCGTATCTGGAGGTAGCCTTCTGTTTCTGGAATGCCTTCAGCGCCGATGAGAGTGAAGCCCAAACCCTGGAAAAAAAAACACATTTACCAATGGTCAACAACAGAATATCACACTAGTAATATACCTAGGTAATTTATGTTGCAATATTGTTACTTAGTATTTTCTTACATCTACATGATATGCTAAGGTGTTTACGTAGCTTCAAATCAGACACCTTAACTGTGACAGTTCATCCAAAGATGAACTGTCTAGTAAGGGTTTTGTGGATATCTTATGTATCACAGAATTCACAGAGCATAATATGTCGCCCCTAAACTAAACCACCACAAGGTCCACCACCATAAAGTGGACAGACAATCTCAAAAAAGTAGTAGGATAGCACTGGATGCAGGCCCCTACCAACCGGTTAATACGGAAATCATTGGGGGAGGCCTGTCTTCAGCAGTGAACGTCTGGGTGAAATGACGATGATGAAACTAAACCAAAGTGGTTGAGGTTACCCTCTACTTACCTGAGTGCCTTTAGTGAGTGAGAGAGTGGAATTCTAGCCTCTCAGTTCTTTATGCGCTTCTGTCTATTTTAACTGTCCTTAAAATAAATTTAAAAGAGGTTGAGGTTACCGTCTACGTACCTGAGTGCCTTTAGTGAGTGAGAGAGTGAACCTCTCGCCTCTCAGTTCTTTGAGTGCTTCTGTCAATTTTAACTGTACTTAAAATAAACTCAAGAGGTTGAGGTTACCTTTTCTACGTACCTGAGTGCCTTTAGTGAGTGAGAGAGTGAACCTGTCCCTCAGTTCCCTGAGTGCTTCTGTCAATTTAACCGTCCTTAAAATAAACTTAAAAGGTTACCTTCACTACGTACCTGAGTGCCTTTAGTGAGTGAGAGAGTGAACCTCTCGCCTCTGAGTTCCCCAGTGGGCGTTCCTCCATTGGGCTTGTTATTGGCATTGTTCTCCGCTGCGTTCTTGGCTGGAACGAAGAATTAATTTTAATGATAAAAGCTATGAAACGACTAAGGCTGAGTTGCACCATCGTACTTTAACAGTAACTTGTGTGTAAATAACTGGTGTTTTTTGTATGGAGTTTGACAGACATTTGACGTATGTTAAAGTTAAAGTAAGATGGTGCAACCCAGTCCAAAAACCATGACACTTTCTGGACATGGAAGGCCAGAATTAACCTTGGATGGAGTCCTAGTGGGGATTATCATTGCCTATAAAATTATTCAACACTCTTCTATCCAATTTACAACAGATATTTTCCAATACTCCTAAATAAACCATTGAGTTTTTCTTGTATAAATTGAAAATTCTTAACTACTGTTATTAAGAATAAATACTTTGAATTCACTTATTATGGCTTGCAAGCATAACATTTTTTACATGGAGTGAGCTTACTGCTCATAACAGTGCTGTAGCATAATAAGCAGTTTCAGATTATACTATCGCACGCTCAATTGGGTCGATTAATCCATGCTTTTACTTCAACATGGTAGCAATTTATCATTCCTAATTCCTTGGAAAAACTAGTTATGTTATAATAGCTTGGTCCCAGACCGTAACGATGCGTTACCATAACTGTATAAACAGTAGCGTTCTTTTTAAAGTTTATAAATAAGTAAGAACGATCACCCATCTGCTAAGGATTGTTCTAGTGTTCCTTAATAACCGTAATTAAAGTCTACACAAAACTGCAACCACCTCTTAATTATACAATTATTCTCAGCTGAATTCTAGTGTTTACATCTTCAAAAATGTTTTCCTTTTTTGTTTCATAAGCAATTCGTAACAATGTTCTCATTAAAATATTTAATTATGATGTTGAATTACCTCTCAGTCTAGCCTGCAATACAGGGTTCTCGTACTGAGTTCTTCGGTTTATGTGGTCTACATAATATGACCCATATCGTTCGTCCGTCACTCGTTCCCAGCCATAAGGCAGTTCATCCTCACCGCACTCTCCGAGAGAGTGTTTCCGTACTCTTGCCAGACGAGGGTCTAGCCAGTGGGACGTCCCAGTGTTGTGGCTGAAAAATAACATATAAGTTGTTGAAGTCACACAGCTCTATGATTAAATTGTGATATTGTTTACTAAAGTTAAATCATAATGCATGATTTGTGATGAATTCTTTTCAATAATTTTTGAACAAAATGCTTTTTTCCATAGTATGGATTTTATACATCCACTGAGCTCATCAATGCCATATTCTTATTTCTTCACATGACACCATGCTAATTTCCATGCTTGCATAGGTATAATATAAACATTGAGATTAAACTCAAGAGAGAAAAACCTCATAATAAGTAGGTACTATTAAAATTTTATCACTGTTTTTTATGAACACAAACAAAATACCTTTTAGATTTCTTTCCAAAGCACATCATCACAAATATATCTTTTTTTGCAATGCACATTTGATACAACACTTCACAAGTTTCACTAGTCGCACACTACATGCGTTATAGCAAAATTTGCATGTATATGCAGTTTTCAAGAGAGGGAAAGCCCAACATTCTTATATACTTCCATTATACGAACACTGAACCTCGACTATGCAAAGATGCTGTTGAACTAACAAACTAATTTTAGATTATTTCAGGGTTCGAAAATATCCGATATTTATTATAAATATCAAAATATCGGATATTTATGATATATATCGGATATATATCAACTTTGATATATATCAATTTTGTATGAAAGCCATACTATTATTTTATTGTATTATTCATGAATACTATTGCATAAGTGTTACATAAACATGTTTTTAATGTTTTTAAAACTGAAATCAGAGAAATAAAGCAAAAACATAAAATTTCTTTGAAATACGGCAAAATGAACTAAAAAAATAAAAATCTCATGTCAAAAAGTACAAATACAGTAATAAATTTTAAAAGTTGATATATATCATTAAAACCGGCTTGATATATATCGGATATATATCCGATATATATCAAGATATATATCCTTTGATATATATCCTCGAACCCTGGATTATTTACTTTAAAACATTGTTTGAACTACTAATCTACCTGTCGACGTCTGTGCTCTATCAAATCGGGGTTATAAGAGCAAAAACATAATGAATTCTGCAAGTTTCTCCTGATTGAAATTGTAATTATGTTACTTCATTTCAATCATTGCAGCAGACACATTAACATGAAGTTGTCAATGAAAACTGTGTTGAATCTCTTTGAATTTGGGTTATAAATGATAATAGGTACTCACTCGATAAAGTAGACCTCCCCAGTTGGAGTAAAAGCCTTCTCCCACATAGGGGGCAGTGGCCCAAGGTTGTATTCATCTTCATCATCCCTTTTGAGACCAGGATCACCCACTCTCACACCCACCACTGAACCACCAACCGTCCCAGCAGTTCCTGAGCTATGTGTTGAAATTCCAGCAGACGAAAGTCTATCAGAATCCATCGAATTTTGGGCCATTTTCATCAAAAAATAATAGGTAATGTTCCAACACTCCACAAAAAGTTTTAAATTTTCAAAAATAGAACATATTCATAAAATCACAGATAACACTTTTTTTCTTTTTCTAACACTGTCATCGCCGAGGAATTCACGAAAACAAAACAATAACTGCATGCCAGTGACCACGTATGAGTCATTTTGAGGTCTGTCGACTCTTCACTTGTCGGGTCGTGTTTTCTACCTGCACTGCAATAATAGATTCCACGTAACAACTAACTGGATTGCGATTCGTCTTCCGTCGGACCGTGTCATAATCTCGGCGAGTTCAACCCGTTGCAGTTATCTGCAGTGCAGGTGCATTGTAACGAACTTTAACGTAAATGAAAACAACAAGCATTTCCCACGTCCTAACGTCAACAGTAACGGTAAATGTGAATACTAATTTCTATGGACCAGCTTGTAAATAAAATATCAAGTTCACTTTCTCACAAAACGGGTGAATTCCTAAGTTTTTGAAAGTAGGTGCAACAAGTGCATGCACACAAGCACAGCTTACAGCTGTTTGTTTATAGATGTACGTATGATTACTGAAAGGTCGTTCGTCTTTTATTTAATTATGCATGAGCAACATTTAACGAGAGCAAGATATTCAGAGTGAATATGTTTTTTCTAATCACAAAATAACTTTAATCACACTTTTTACACAAAAATACACCTTGTAAAATTAAAAACGATCACATCAATCAAAAAGAAAACCCATAGACCATAAACAACAGAAATCAAAATTCGTGAATTAAACCATAGATTTTTTTATGAACAATCTAAATAAATATTATTTTAACAAAATTATTTTATTTATTAAATTTTTTAGGTATTTCGATATTTTATTATATTCCTTATTTTCATACATTCTGCTGCTGCTAAGGCACAGATAACTATAATGTTGAGGTATCCGAGGAGGTATCCAAGGTGTTTAAGAACATAGTAATCCTACTCTCTAATAGATGGCGCTAAGTTCTTCACTATCGGTGCTATCGGGCTCGGCCATCTATCGGCAGAATTTTGTACGAAGAAAAAGCTGAGATTGAAAAAAGCTCCTTCCTTTACGTTTCAGAGGGTGGTGTTACTGGTGTTCCTGCAATGGAGACTGAATCAATTCAGACTTCAGACTGATGATCACGACAAAAATAATCTCAATCGATGATATTTAAAAGATTTTATCAGAATAAAGTGGCGGGGCACATAGCTCGAAGAGCTGATGGCCGCTGGGGCAGGAGGAAAGTTCTTGAGTGGCGACTTCGGCCGGAAGACGTAGCGTGGGCAGGCTTCCCACTAGGTAGGACCGACGATCTGTTGAAGGTCGCGGGAGGTGCCTGGATGCGAGCGGCGCAGGACCGGTCTTTGTGGAAATCCTTGGGGGAGGCCTTTGTCCAGCAGTGGACGTCTTTCGGCTGAAACGAACGAACGAACAAACAGAAAAAAAAGAAAAAGTTAGGTAATCCTCTACTACCGTGACACCATTTCAACAACTTTGTCACTTTCCATCAAATATTGATTTCTTGTTAATTCCATGTTATTTTATCACTTTGAATTATCAAATCAATACATCGTCAAAATCTTAAAATTCGGTTTAAAATTTAGGTAGGTGACCTAGGCACTAAGACCACCAGCTAATGTAATATTATGGCACGCTTGCCCGGTCTAAAGAATTATTGGCGACACACAGCCACACAGCACAATAAATTCTGCGCGCACGCATGAAAGGATTCCAACAGACCAACGTTACATACACTTAACGCAATACATCTTGGCACATTCAGTTTGTTAGCCCACAGTTTAATTAAATTAGACAGTATAATGAACTATTTCTAGATTTTAATTACGAGAAAAGTACTTATGCGCGTGTTAAATTATCGGTTCCCGTATTTATGTTAATAAATTGAATCCTACCTTTCCATCATGAGTGACAATAATAAATAAGGTATACCTATATGGGCTCGTTTCCACGGCCCGCAAAACCGAACTCTGTTTGAAATTCGTACCTACTTAGGTAATTACAAATTCGAACGGATCAGTTTTTTACGGGACAATTCATAAGTACGCGATGTTCGTGTGAACGCGTAATTCTAGCAAAAAACAGTTCCCGCAAGTCCTAAGATTGAAACATAGTTCATTAAAATAGGTATACTTAATGAGTGTGGGGTTTATTAAAAAGATCTTGTACCTAACAGGTATCCAGCCGGGCTAGGACGCGCGCCGTGATAAAATGTTATCGATGATTTTAGACGATAAACATAATAAATGGGCTTAATTCGTTAAAATAGCGCGATAAAAGCTTATCGCGGCGCGCATCTTAGGCCTTAAAGCAAGTAAGAAATTCGATACAGAAAGAATTTGAGCCGTGAAGTGGGTTTGTATGGGCAAAAGTCATTGTCCCTTGACACAATTTAACCAAAAAAGAAAACGATTCATGCTTTTGAAAGCGTCAGAGATGTTTATTAAAGATTTTTCATCACGCGCTCGCAGTAACGCTGCAGTCTGAATCAGAAGATCCTTTAAATAAAACTTTATTAATAAACCTCTTCATTCACCACTTCATAAAGTAATTCGAAACGAGTTAACATCAATAATTCAACGATACAGACAAAAATCGCATAAATTTTAAACTTTTACGGCCAGTTATCTGTGTCTGCGCTATCATATCACAAATTCGCGCGTTATTATTCGAAACCGAGCGTGAACCGTATGACTTACGGCGCGCTCCAAAATACACCGTACCTACCGCACATTTTCACCCGGTGCCACCTAAATTTTATATTAAAAGCACGTGAAACCAGCTTAGTCACGTATGTTCGCTGGCCGGGTACGCAGACTCCGCAATAAAAATTCCACCAGCTCGATTCTCGAGCTATAACATTATATAACGGACTAATCTAACCACGTTAACATTCGCGCCGTTTTGTGATAGCCGCCGATTTCAATTCGCGCGCGGATCGCGAGTTGACATTTCCCGCGCTTTTCGGACCGCCATCTTGTGAGCGGATTTTTTCAAGTTTCCCGGAAGTAAGTGCAAGGAATATTGGTATACAGCCAGTTTGGTATTTTTCTTTTATTTTTGGAGTGTTTTTGTGAGTGATTTTTCTTGTAGTTTTCTGGCCTCTGGAGCTGAAGGTATGGTAGATTTTTTTGAGTATCTGTTTATGAAAAATATGTTTACTGAAAAGAAGCAACAGCGCAATAGTGTTCTGTCGAGCGTTTAACAAATTGTCCAAGTGTGCTGGCGGGCGAATTATTACGTAGTAAAGACATTAAATGGGGCTTGGCAGAAATGTTAGATTTCGTGCAGTTACGAGTAATATTAAACGCTGGACGGACCAGCATCGAGAATGTCAACCCATGATGCAATCGGTCAGATTCCGCTATTTTCGGATTTGCTTGGATTCCGTTATTTTGAATGTAACTCTTTGATTCGGTGTAGGTTGATTTCTATAAATATAGTAATCTTTTAAACACAAACACTGTAATTTATGTGGCGTCGCCGCTGAGTCACATAGATGTGAGGATGTTGTTTCATAGATGATTTATAGCTAGTACTTACAAAGGTAATTTAAATCGAAATCCCGTGTAGTAACAAAATGTCTGGGCGCAAAATTCTGATAAAATATTTTCTGCTTAGGGATACCGCGTGGCTTTGCTTTGATATTAAACTATGTATTTATATTATATTAGAACTTAAATTTTTGTAAAGGAACCTAATAGTGTTTCTTTCAAATCATCTTTTCAGTTGTCATGGAAACTATTTTTTTAAGCAAAAGGAACTGAACGGACTTTGATAAAACTTTACAGTGTTTTTATACTCTCATCAGAGTAACAAAGGCTATAATTTACAATGATATTGAGTTAATTGGCCAAATTATAAAGTATCAAGTAACTCTGTCTTTCTATGAAAAATTGAATTTAACGCGAGGCTTCGGGTAAAAGCTAGTCCTAGTAGAAAAGCTTAATCCTTAGAGAAGCTTAATTTTAGGGAAAATTCCATGCTTTTCTTGCTTTAACCGCGTGATTATTGGCCAAATTACAACGAAAATTATACCTAAGTTTGACTCAGTTTTTTAGCGAAAAACCTAACCTAGCAGAGAATTAGTGACTGTTCCTTTTAGCTTTACAATTCTAGGGACAATTACATTCAGCTTTTCTTACTCTAACCATAGGTGCCACCAAAATATTAACGGAGTTAAGGTAAACGGCTACTAGTTCGTGATAGTACGTAAGTTCGTAAGTTTTTTTTCTAGCTCAAATAATAAGCAAATGGAATATTATTTATAAAAATTCTTCATTGCTACAAAAACTCTATTATTTAAGCTATCTAAAAAACCAAGTACCAACATTGTGGCGCCAAAAATGAGAGCAATACGAAGCTTCAAACTCTCAGAGAGCCAAAAACAGCCGAGCGGCTTGCAAAGGTTGCTCTCACCGTAAGGTTAGCGCTCCAACTTCTTAAGCTTATAAAAAGGCGAAGGAACGTCCATTTAAATAAAACTTGTAATAGTGGTTTCATGTGTTCCTTGACAATTGATTTGGCTTAGAAAAAAGTTATATGAAAACGTAGAATTCCTTTAAAATTGCGATTAATTGACTCACGAAATAGCGTACATATTATTTTTCGGGTGTCCCCTATTTCGTAACACTACCGATTCAAGGATATTATGGATAACATTTTGATGCTTGGTTTTTAAATAATTATTTATGATAATTTAAATGTAAGTTATGAAACAAATAATGCATTTATTTAAGTTTCTCATGACCTAAATTCGGTATATGTTTCGTTCACTAGAATTTATACGACACGAGTTTGAAGTTCACACATATGACCAATTTTAAGATAAATTAGCATAAGTAGTACCAGCATAATTTTGGTTTTATTTCGATTTGTTTTATTTATCTTTGTTTATTTGGGGGGGGGGTAAGTTCCCCCCCCCCTACATTTCTAATGGTTATAGAAATATTTTCACATTTTGTTAGAATTAACAAATCAAAATATTTTACTAGACTCACATTATTTCTTATGAATATTTCAGGTAAGTAATATCGTCAATTTCACATAATTATTTTATTCTAAGTTTTTATTATCGTTTTTAAATTTATTAAACCCTTAATCATTATTAAAATATCCTAACTGTATGCATAAAACCTTATCCCGAAATAGGGGACATGAGTTCACGAACTTAGAAACAGAGCAAAATTTTGTCACGAAACAGGATCCAAACAAGAGGTCCGCAGAACAATTAATATAAAAAAAAGTTCAAACTATATAACTATAAATTATGTATTAACTTACTGTCAAAAGACCAAAGTTTAGCATACAAAAGCTTTCATACTGATATCATGGTTGGTTATTTTTAAATAAAATGTTGAAGTCGTAAGAGCCTTAATATACCGAAGTAGGGGGCACTTACCTTATTTACGCTATGTCACTGTCTGGTTCCTATATTAATTAACACGTATGTGGGACAAGGATACCGTTTACTTAGTGGCTATTTCCACAGAATCAGGGACTATTTCCACCAGTTACCCGAATAACGGGCAGTGTTGTCATACTGTTTTGTTTCTCGGTAATATTTAAACTAAAGTAAAGAGTCGTTACTACTGGAAACCATCAGTTTTAGTGAACTTCAAATGCATCAACTGGTCACACATAAACATAGGGATGCATACATTTTGTTGGTCATGTACATCTTGCAAACAGTGTTTAGTGACTGACAGCTTTAGAAAACACTTAAAAAATAGATTAAAAAAAGTGTTTAGTGCTGAAAATCAGTAAGTTTGTAGATACACAACACAAAACACACCTAATAATTATACTCCCCCTGAAACACATGTAATTAAAACAAAAGCATCTTAACTAGTTCGATGTTTAATTAAATTATTATTTTGTTTGTTAAGAATGAGGGCTATCGTTTTAGCGCTCACCAGTTAGCGCCACTGTAGAGTAAGGTCCTGTCACTTGCTAGTAGCGAAGACAGTGGCACCAACTGGTGAGCGCGAAAGTGGTAGGAGGACTATCGCATTTGCACTCATCAAGATGGCGCCACTGTAGAATAAGGTCCTGTCAATCGCCAGGGGTGCCAACTGTTAAGTATAGAAACGAAACTCATTAGGAAGTTTTCTTTCTCTTGTGAATGAATGAAGTTTCAATTTAAGAGAGACGATGCTATGATGCTTTATTCTTCTATTTGAAAAGTCACAATTTTATGCCAAGAAAGTTGCCGTTTCCTGACGATAACATCTTTGTTCTAAATGCACTATTTCTGCGATAATCTATTTGTAACTGTTTTTTACGTTGAAATTATTAGAAAGGTATAAATAAAATGTGAGGTAGATTTTATCCTGAAATAAACCCAGTGTAATATTATACAGGATTTCGTAGATTGGATGATCGACTTACTTTATGGTTTCTTCTGAAATCTATTTTCCAACTTTGTATAAGTTCCTCGTACATCAGAAAAGGACTAGTTACTCATTATTTATCAGATTATAATCCCCGTAATCTCTTACACGAGGTATTACTTTGTATTCCTGAATAGTCAGTTGTACCTAACCTTATATACTTAAGTAGTAGGGTAGAGGAACATAAGACTCACAAATCAAGGTGTTAGAGTTATGTGACATATCACGATAGTTAATCAGATCAATGGATACAATGTGGGAAGACGATGGCTTGCCAGATCCATCCACGTGGTTTTCCCGGGTCAGGCGAGATAGGGTTGCTACAAAGTTGTCTTTGATTTATCTTCTCGCTACTCATTTCAATAACTAAAGGTCACAAACTTTTTGTCAGATGTTTAGGCATCTGACATCCGTCAGCTTAAAGTAGGCACTTAATGGTTAGGCTGATTCAAGACATCAATGTCCTAATCAAGCCTGCAAGATACTTAATCACACAAAGTGATTAATCAATCAGTGTGTCCTACCTAAGAATCGAATCCAGGACTCCCGAATCGAGAGACTAACACCTGGACAAGGGAATCCCTCCCTGGTTCTGCTCGTGGGCAAAATTGCACAGGAATGGAGTCCAGGTCCGTCTTCCGCCACTTCTTCTCAGCACCAGCCCATATGTTGTCCCGAAGTGTTGGTAGGGCAATCTACTTATATTTCGGACGTGTACGTGCCCTGGAAAGGACCTGAATAAACTATTTTTTTATGAAAGACAAGGCAGGTATTTGAATTTGAATTCAAAGTATTCAAACAATTTGTCATTAAATTCATAATATTTATTGTGTTATAGATCTTTTCGATAAAGAGCGCTTTTACGAAGCGCCAGCCCTACAAAATCCCAGTCATATGATCTCGTAGACCGATCCCGCTATAAAACACGTTATAAATAACTGTCCAACTGCTTTAATTAGGGATATACCAGGATCCGCGCTATTCTCGACATAGTTTCAATCTATACTAATATTATAAAGCTGAAGTTTGTTTGTTTGGCTGAACGCGCTATCTCAGGAACTACTGGTCCGATTTGAAATATTATTTTTGTGTTGTATGGCCCGTTTATCGAGGAAGGCTTTAGGCTTTACATCACCCTTCAGTCAAGGAGGGCGGAGCAGTAAAGATAAATGTTGCAAAAATAGCTAGGGACTGGAATTCGCTGCCTGCTGCTGTCTTTCCTGAACACAATAATCCGGGCCTTTTCAAGGCGAGAGTGAATAGGCACTTACAGGGCAGATAATATTATGTACCATCTTAGACTGCATCTCACATAACAACAGGTGCGGTTGCGGTTAAATATTCAAATTATTTTCACGCGTACGAAGTCGCAGGCACAGCTAGTATTTTATTATAATTTTTTTGACAGAACTCGTGTGGGTTTTTTAGTGGGACGCGTCGTTGATTGTAAATGATCGGTATCATATAATAAAAACTTTTAAGACGCTGACTATGTTCATTTATTAAATTAAAAGTGATGACAAGAATAATAAACCATTATTTAGTTAGTGGTTAGATTGGTTTACGTGTTAATGATGGGGAAAATCTTATAAGCTCACCACAGTCACGGCCATAGT